TTATCTTATTTCCAAATGTCGTTACATATGTTCTGATTTTGATAGTTTTGTGATTTACAGAAAGTAGGTTTTATGCTGTCCAGCCCAGAATTGATTTTTACAATTGCCAAGACATGCAAGAATATATTAACAACCAGATCGGATGCTCTTTTTTTTATCAATGTCATATAGTCTCTCATAACTCTTTTGTAGTGGCTCGTTACTTTATATATTAAGATATTTTTAAAGAGTTTATTTCCAATATATTATAAATGTAACGAGGTGAGACTCAAATAAATGATCTGTCTGTCTGTCTGTTACGAGTTAGGTCCATAAAACAGTAAATTCGTTAGCAATATGTTTTGCGAATTAGTTTTTCTGGTGACAATGAACAGTATTCCCGTTATATCACTATCTCAGCTTGGTGTGTGTGTGTGTGTGTGTGTGTGTGTGTGTGGGGGGGGGGGGGGGGGGGGGGGGGGGGGTGGAGCCCGAAAGCAAACATGGACGTGTATCGCTTTAATTTTTAATCAGAAAAAAACATAATCTGGCAATCTGGGATTCGAACCCGAGAGCCTAAGTTCCTGGCATGTATAAGGGAGGTAATGTGTTTCTGTTACATGGGTCCATCAGACAAATTTGTCGGACTTTGACACACGGGTATTGTGCTGATTGCAGGTTTATTTCTTATCCTCCATTACATATCATATGTAACAACAATTGACAATTTTTCCAAACAATGAAATATCAAACTGCATACATTTCCCAAACGTTATACACTATGAAAAAAACCCAAATAACAAAAACAAAGTAAATCTTACCTCATAAACAAAGGTGAATATTATGAAAGTGATAGGTTGTCATCGGCTCCACATGTACATAAACGCAAGTCATCTGTCTATTACATGTAGAGACCCCTCTGTTTTAATGTCAACTGATAACAGCGCCTTAAGGATTATATTTATTGGACAAAACCTTTTTCGTTACCTCACAGTTATAAATTTATCACAATGCATACGCGTCGAATGTATTCGTGTATTTAGCGACAGGCGCTTTGGAAAACATTTTTTGAAGCTTGTCGTGTATGACTCAGCGCACAAAAATGTCGGTCGTTATTTCATTTGATTCACTGACGATCCGGCTGACACTTCCTTGGTCCAAATTAGATGAAAATACAATTGACACCCAAACGTGAAGATCCGGGTTGAATTGGTCCTCATCAATCGTTGCTTGTCGTAAGAACTGAAATACATGTGTTTTCGATAAACTTGTCCTATAATTGAACACAATTCTCGAGGAGAAATATGGCGAGACGATGTCAAACTTCTCTCATGCGGTGAGGTTAATCCCAACCATATGCCATAAACCACTGCCACATCAGCCATTAAGTATTCCCAGGTGGGCGTTGGTTTACTAGGAATTATATTTCTCTGTACATTTGAATCGGCAATCTTTGAAAGGTTTCATAACACATGTACACATTTTGATCTGGGTAGCGCAAGCGTAATTTAACTATAGTTCAGGGCAAAAGCTATACTTTATAAAACTACAGATAGGGGTAGACCAAACGTATTATGTTATTTACAACCTTATTGTTATAAGTGAAGATAGTTACGTTTTGAGTGAGTGAGGGAGTATGATTTTACGCCGCTTTTAGCAATATTCCAGCAATATTACGGCGGGGGACACCAGAAATGGGCTTCACACATTGTACCGATGTCGGGAATCGAACCCGGGTCTTCGGCTTGGCGAGCGAACGCTTTAACCACTAGGCTACCCGACCGCCCCAGTTACGTTTTGAAGACTTGATACATCAGTTGAAGCCATCAAAAAAAAAAAAATTACTATATTACATAATAATTACAGGATACAAACCCCGTCCCCCTTTCATATCAAGTTTATGTCCCAAGAGGAATAATTTTGTTTTGTCCCGAGCTCAAGTCCACGAGGGACATAAACGTGATATGAAAGGGGGACAAGTATTGTATCCTATTTATTACCCATCCCGCTAAAAAATGTAAAACACCCCAAACACCATTTTTGCGTTTTCTACATATGAAGCGACATCCAGAGGGATACAAGCGCTTGGTGAATGGAATGTCGACCGTAAAACCTATTTAAGAAAATCCTTGCGTGCAGCAGAAATACCCTAGATTAATGTATTAAAATAACAACGATAATAACATTTTGAAATCAAATAACTTTTTACTGAACATTTTATGTTCATGTATATAAATTTATACACTTAAAAATATTTTCTAAATATTACAATGGTTTTAACAGTTTGAAAATCTATTGCCCGTTATTTCTTCCTGGTAGCCGTCTCGCCACAGTTCAGTTGACAGAAACCTAGCTGGTCGTCATGGAGTGAGAAAAGCGCGCCCGTTTGAATTAGCAATAACAAGAACAAGACAAGATAATAACTGGAGTTAACAGCAGCATGTAAGAAACTCGTTTTGAGCGGCATTGTTGTTTGTGCCTAATTCTCATTTGAAAAGGGGGCGGTCGGGTAGCCTAGTGGTTAAAGCGTTCGCTCGTCACGCCGCTTTTAGCAATATTCCAGCAATATCACGGCGGGGGACACCAGAAATGGGCTTCACACATTGTACCCATGTATGGAATCGAACCCGGGTCTTCAGCATGACGAGTGAACGCTTTGACCACTAGGCTACCCGACCGCCCCTTTACACTGCGGAACATGCACATATAAAGACCAACCAGTGTTGTGGCGTTCCTATCCCACCTCCTTCTTGGTAAAGTGACACGTCAGATCATCGCTGATAAGGAAACACGACACCCAATGATGACACCAGGAGTCCGAGAAAATGGGAAGCATTTAATACTGAAATGGAACCGTTGATGGCATGTGGCCAAACTGTTTTCGCCCGTTGGCGAAATATTTTAATAATGCTATAAATTAGTTGAATTAGTTAAAAACAAGTTGAATTATGTGTCATGATACATGAAGACACACATTTATGTATTTGCAAAAAAACCACCCAACATGACTGTTGAGCAAATGAAACGTTGCTCGGTCACGGGCCAAACCCCGCCCCCACCCCTCGTGCCTGTACACATGTATGTCAGTGTGTGTGTGTGTGTGTATGTCAACGTACTAACTAATTCTGGTGTGTGTGTGTGTGTGTGTGTGTGTGTGTGTGTGTGTGTGTGTGTGTGTGTGTGTGTGTGTGTGTGTGTGTGTGTGTGTGTGTGTGTGTGTGTGTGTGTGTGTGTGTGTGCGTGCGTGCATATTACCCTGTATAATATGCTGTTGAAATGTGCCAATTTTTTTTATGATACTTGTACATTGTTTGTTCCCTGAGGTCGTCTTCACAATAAATTCCATTACGATCTTTTTTCTGCCAAGATTGTACGTAACAACTGATATCCTTCCCATTGGTCTTCTCGGTCATCATTTTGAGGAATCCACAGTGCATCTCTGGATTCGTTAGTTTCACTTGTTGTCGTGATTATCAGATTTGAAACGCATAGTTCTTTGGATTTACAATAGTCTTTGATGGCGAGCTTTGTCTTCTTATATATATTCATGTAATTTTTCACTTTCACTAAGAACATAAATAATTTCTAATGGGGCAGTCATTTGCCAGAATTCATGGAAAACAGACTTCTAGCGAGAATTTCACTGATCGATGTTATATGATGTGCTGATGCGTCCTGCGTTTGGTCTGCAAAGAATATACCAAGGCCTTTGACAGTGGTGTTAACCAGGGGTTGCTTTTCTTTGATAAATCACATTTAAGCATTCAATATTAATTCCGGTAGATTAAATTTTTAAAAATCATTTTAAATTATCAACAAGTTTTTAACACTGTGTTAATTTTGAAGAAATGACTTCTTACGTCACTGTATGTAATATTCAAATCTTACAACGGTTATAAGTAATCAGGTCTTGACCAGGTAATCCAATTGGTTGACTGCAAGAGAAACGTTTCAAGCCGGCGGGGCAAATGCTTGACACGCAATCAACCAGGTCACACATTGAGGGTTACTATTTGCTGCCATGTTTAAGGATGCTCCTGGTTAGAATTGGTCTTCAGCAACCCATGCTTGTCGTAAGAGGCGAGTAATGGGATCGAGTGGTCAGGCTCGCTGACTTAGTTGATGCATGTCATCGCATCCCAATTGCGTAGATCGATGCTCGTGATGTCAATCACTGGCTTGTCTGGTTCAGACTCGATTATTTCCAGACCGCCGTCATATAGCTGGAATATTGCTAAGTGCGGCGTTAAAGAACAAACAAACGCACATTGTACCCACCCGATTCTCATTTTAGTCGACTTCTGTTCGCATGTAGAAAGTTTGTTTGTTTTGATTGTTTGTAGCTTTACGCAATCGGCCTTTAAATAATAAGGGTCTGCGACAGCTATATCACGGCGGCCTCTTATAGTGGCGGGGTGGTCAGACAGTGGTTGCTATGATGAGCAAAAGCCCATCAGGCGGTCACGATGACACGCAACCGCCGACCCTTACCCCATGATCCAATTTAGTCTCTTCTTCCGAGGGGGCACGGGTGGCCCAGTCGTCTAAGGCTGCGATTCGCTGTGCAGAGTTGCGTGCCTTGGGCACGACAGAAACCTATGATTGTGGGTTCGAATCCCGGTTCGCCCCGATTATGTTTCTAGGTTTGTCAGCACCATACCCGTGCTCGAGGGTTTCACCGAAGTGGTAAACGTCTGAGACCTGCATCACTTTGGGCTTTCCTCCCACATTAAGCTGATACGCCGTGATATAACTGGAATACTGTTAAAAGCGGCGTTAAACCCAACTCAGTCACTAACTCTTCTTCCGATAAGCAATGGAGAGCTGAAGACCTAATCTAACCTAGGCCCCCACGGGGTGCAAGCAGCAAGTATAACGCCCACTGGGGCAGTAGGGTAGCCCATGACCCGGGTTCCATTCTCCTCATGGGTACAATGTGTGAAGCCAATTTCTGGTGTCCCCATGGAATATTGCTCAAAGCGGTGTAAAACCTTACTCACGCACTATAATGTCCACTTCAGTACGTGTCGAGTCCGCTGTGTTGTCCCAGTCGATCAAGCATCCTGACCGGCAAATACGTCCACAACCATCACGGCATCAACAACTCCGTCTCCGGCGGCTGCAGCAGCCCCGAATGGCAGCAGATGAATGAGGTTGCAGCGTTCCCGGTGTATCTGAAGAAGCAGGGGTACAGCACCTTCTTTGCCGGCAAATATCTTAATCAGGTAGTTTTACTCGGGTGTTTCCAGAATCATTGCGTAGACCACGTACAGGTGAACACCCCGTTGATCCGGACCTAATTAATGTACAGTTTAACACCCCGTTGATCCGGACCTAATAAATGCACAGTTTATCACCCCGTTGATCCGGACCTAATTAATGCACAGTTTACCACCTCGTTGATCCGGACCTAATTAATGTACAGTTTATCACCCCGTTGATCCGGACCTAATTAATGCACAGTTTATCTCCCCGTTGATCCGGACCTAATTAATGTACAGTTTATCACCCCGTTGATCCGGACCTAATTAATGTACAGTTTACCACCCCGTTGATCCGGACCTAATTAATGTACAGTTTAACACCCCGTTGATCTGGACCTAATTAATGCACAGTCTAACACCTCGTTGATCTGGACCTAATTAATGCACAGTTTAACACCTCGTTGATCCGGACCTAATTAATGTACAGTTTACCACCCCGTTGATCCGGACCTAATTAATGTACAGTTTACCACCCCGTTGATCCGGACCTAATTAATGTACAGTTTATCACCCCGTTGATCCGGACCTAATTAATGTACAGTTTAACACCCCGTTGATCTGGACCTAATTAATGCACAGTTTAACACCTCGTTGATTTGGACCTAATTAATGCACAGTTTAACACCTCGTTGATCCGGACCTAATTAATGTACAGTTTACCACCCCGTTGATCCGGACCTAATTAATGTACAGTTTACCACCCCGTTGATCCGGACCTAATAAATGCACAGTTTAACACCTCGTTGATCTGGACCTAATTAATGCACAGTTTAACACCTCGTTGATCCGGACCTAATTAATGTACAGTTTACCACCCCGTTGATCCGGACCTAATTAATGTACAGTTTACCACCCCTTTGATCCGGACCTAATAAATGCACAGTTTACCACCCCGTTGATCCGGACCTAATTAATGTACAGTTTACCATCCCGTTGATCCGGACCTAATTAAGGTACAGTTTAACACCTCGTTGATCTGGACCTAATTAATGTACAGTTTACCACCCCGTTGATCCGGACCTAATTAAGGTAAAGTTTAACACCTCGTTGATCTGGACCTAATTAATGCACAGTTTAACACCCCGTTGATCCGGACGTAATAAATGTACAGTTTACCACCCCGTTGATCCGGACCTAATTAAGGTACAGTTTAACACCTCGTTGATCTGGACTTAATTAATGTACAGTTTAACACCCCGTTGACCCGGACCTAATTAATGTACAGTTTAACACCTCGTTGATCTGGACCTAATTAATGTACAGTTTACCATCCCGTTGACCCGGGCCTAATTAAGGTACAGTTTAACACCCCGTTGATCCGGACCTAATTAATGCACAGTTTACCACCCCGTTGATCCGGACCTAATTAATGCACAGTTTACCACCCCGTTGATCCGGACCTAATTAATGTACAGTTTAATAACCCGTTGATCCGGACCTAATTATTAGACAGTATCACGTCCCGTTCATCCGGACCTACTTGATTAATAACTGCAAAGAATAACTAAATAACACCACACAACATTCCTTTTTAACTTGAACATTTACTGCAAAGCGTAAGTAATTGGAAATGAAATACAAAAAAGGAGCCTACTTTTTAAAGATTGGTGATGTACTTCGGGTGGATGACCTCGTTTGTTCCTTACCCTGTCAGAGCGTGAGGCGCATTGGATGATTGAGTTCATCTCTGTTTCAGTACGGCTTCCCGCAGACCGGAGGGGTGAAACACGTGCCCCCGGGCTGGGACTGGTGGGTAGGACTGGTAGGTACAACATCACTTAATTGGTCGCCCCTTAATTAAGCGACCATTTATTATAGTTTTTGAAAGGGGGGCGATTATTATTGCTTTGAAAGGGGCGTCACATCTTTTCTTCCACTGCACAATTTTATCAGAACATCCAGGAAAAATATTCTATCTCCGCCATAAGTATCAGAACCACCCCTAACACACACCCAGATTATGTTAATGGTCGTCCTTAAGGGAATTCAAAGGGCTCGGTGGCTATGGGGTATAAGTCAGTCACTGTGCATGACTGCTCCCCGCCACTATCTACTGGTTATGAGTTCGAATCCCACATCTGTAAACCAATCTGACCAACTCACTCACTTGTTTCTTCCCTTAAACATCACGCTCGAGTATCCATTTACTTCCTGTCTCAAGGTCGGCAACTCTGTCTACTACAACTACACCCTCTCCATCAACGGTACAGCTGAGAAACACGGCGACGTCTACGAGAGAGACTACTTGACAGACGTCATTGTGAGTAACGCGTATGTTTATCTATGCTCCACGGACATCACTGAGAGTAACACGTATGCCTATCTATGCTCCACGGACGTCATTGTGAGTAACACATATGCTTATCTATTCTCCACGGACGTCATTGTGAGTAACACGTATGCCTTTCTATGCTCCACGGACGTCATTGTGAGTAACACATATGATTATCTATGCTCCACGGACGTCACTGAGAGTAACACATATGCCTTTCTATGCTCCACGGACGTCATTGTGAGCAACACGTATGCTTATCTATGTTCCACGGACGTCACTGTAGGTAACACATATGCTTATCTATGCCCTAAGGACGTCACTGAGAGTAACACATATGCTTATCTATGCTCCACGGACGTCACTGAGAGTAACACGTATGCTTATCTATGCCCTAAGGACGTCACTGAGAGTAACACGTATGCTTATCTATGCCCTAAGGACGTCACTGAGAGTAACACGTATGCTTATCTATGCCCTAAGGACGTCACTGAGAGTAACACGTATACTTATCTATGCCCTAAGGACGTCACTGAGAGTAAGACGTATGCTTATCTATGCCCTAAGGACCTCACTGTAGGTAACATGTATGCTTATCTATGCTCAACGGACGTCACTGAGAGTAACACGTATGCTTATCTATGCCCTAAGGACGTCACTGAGAGTAAGACGTATGCTTATCTATGCTCTAAGGACCTCACTGTAGGTAACATGTATGCTTATCTATGCTCAACGGACGTCACTATAGGTAACACATATGCTTATCTATGCTCCACGGACGTCACTGAGAGTAACACATATGCTTATCTATGCTCCATGGACGTCACTGAGAGTAACACATATGCTTATCTATGCTCAACGGACGTCACTATAGGTAACACATATGCTTATCTATGCTCCACAGACGTCACTGAGAGTAACACGTATGCTTATCTTTGCTCCACGGACGTCACTGAGAGTAACACGTATGCTTATCTATGCTCCAGGGACTTCACTGAGAGTAACACGTATGCTTATCAAGGCTCCACAGACGTCACTGAGAGTAACACGAATGCTTATCAATGCTCCACGGACGTCACTGAGAGTAACACATATGTTTATCTATGCTCCACGGACGTCACTGTAGGTAACTCGTATGCTTATCTATGCTCCACGGACGTCACTGAGAGTAACACATATGCTTATCTATGCTCCACGGACGTCACTGAGAGTAACACATATGCTTATCTATGCTCCACGGACGTCACTTAGAGTAACACGAATGCTTATCTATGCTCCGCAGACGTCACTGAGAGTAACACGTATGCTTATCTATGCTCCACGGACGTCACTGAGAGTAACACGAATGCTTATCTATGCTCCACGGACGTCACTGAGAGTAACACATATGCTTATCTATGCTCCACGGACGTCACTGAGAGTAACACGAATGCTTATCTATGCTCCGCAGACGTCACTGAGAGTAACACATATGCTTATCAATGCTCCACGGACGTCACTGAGAGTAACATATTTGCTTATCTTTGCTCCACGGACGTCACTGAGAGTAACACGTAAGCTTACCAATGCTCCACAGACGTCACTGAGAGTAACACGTATGCTTACCAATGCTCCACGGACGTCACTGAGAGTAACACGTATGTTTACCAATGCTCCTTACTGCTAGATTTACATACCTCACCCGATATGAACAGGCATACTTTCTTCCAAACAATCCTGTTCCGTCAAGCACTGAAAGTTTCCTATGAACTAAACTTGCTAAAAGCAAGTATACGTCATGTTTGATGGCGGCTAACAATGAAATAAACAAGATTCGATGGTGTATTCGATAAGGGTGTCGTACCTGTGTTTTGGATCTTGCAGTGTTTCGACGACTGTTTCAGGCTAGTAACGTTTCGATAACGTTTGTAATATTTAAGTCAAATCCAAGATCCATCATCATCATCATCATCATCATCATATCACGGTATCACGTGCCTCGCCGTATTTTATATTATTCTCGATACATATGTTTTGGGACAAGATAATTGCTGAGCGTCAAATATTTATCTGACTTTAAGACAACGACACGACGAAAGAGTGCAATTTATTATTAAGATTAAATATTCATCAGTACCATTAAGTAAACACGTGATGTTATTTGTAAAATTGGTACAATACTAAGCGTATCGTGTATCGCATTGTTTTGTTTCATATCGCGGTTCTCAGCTGAATCCACTTTATCGTGAAGTTAGATACGTGGACACAACTGACATATTTTTATCGAACCATCTCTTAACTCAACTCAACCAGTCCAATCTATCAACTGTCCGTTTGAGTCACTATTTCATATATTTTCGTTGACCGTATCTGACCGGTGCGTATGAAAAAGCGAAATTGAATAAATTGATGTCCATTTTATGTTATACGAGGTCAATATTTATCAAAATGTACAAGCAAATACTTATATTTACAGATCTACAGTTCGGCTCAAAGTCCTACAAATATGTCTAGTTGTGCGTTTCATGCATGGCACTACATAATAATATTTGAAGTAACATGCAATTCTATGCCCTTCTCGGTGTACTATAGGACCGTGGGTGGTATCTTGAATAGAATGAGTCAATCCGTGAGTCTTGTATTGTGGACACCTGTTTAGTAGCTATATACATGTAAAGGTCCGGCCCGTCGAGATAAGGCACATCCCCGCCACACGAATCACACTCGAACAAACAAAGACATAACACTGGAGCAGCTCACACGATAAAAAACCCTTAATTCCTTAGGTCCGCAGATCACAACCAAATTTGCCAGCGGAGCAACTCCAACATAGGTTTTCGAACTGGCCACGATCTTTCTTGAAGGTGATCTCGTTTTAGATAAAAAATTCCCGTTAATTTTCATTGTGAAAATTTATATGCCTTGAGCTGTTATCCACAGCTGTACAAAACCTGAAAATTTGATTTTGTCGGTTGAAAAGTTTGCAAGCCTGTTAACCCTGAAACTGCCAAGGAATTAAGATTTTTGATCTGACATCACATGGAACTTTTGAGTCGGGGGAATGCCTGATGCTCTGCAATGTTTGTTTGTTGTTCAACGACTCACTCAGCAATATTCAAACCATATGATGGCGGTCTGGAATGAATTGAGTCTGAACCAGACAATCTAGTGATTGACATCATGATCATCGTTCCACACAATTGAGATACGCTGACAAGCTTCAGCCAAGTCAACGAGTCTGAACTCTAGATTCGTTCGTCGTGGGTTGCTGTAGATTAATTCTGACCCGGATGATCTTCACGGGCCTTACACAACAATGACTGCAATGACTGCAATATCAGCTGTATTACGGGTGCTGGCGAAACATATCTTCATTGACATGATGATGAAGTGGATGAGAATGGTTTTACGCCGCTTAAAGCAATATTCCAGCAATATCACGGCGGGGGACACCAGAAATGGACTTCACACATTGTACCCATGTCGGGAATCGAACCCGGGTCTTCGGCGTGACGAGCGAACGCTTTAACCACTAAGCTACCCGACCGCCCTTACTGACATGAAGTTGAACGATAAAATTCATTTCAGCATAGACGGGGTCAAGAGTTTCTGGAGATGCAGTCCCGAGACAGCCTCTCTCCCTTCTTTATGATGCTCTCGACCCCCGCCTGCCACGACCCCTTTACCCCCGCGCCTCAGTACAACAGCACCTTCAGTGACGCCAGGGCACCGAGGGGTGGTTCATTCAACCTTCACGCTGAGGTGACAACTTTTCTAAAAACACTTGACCCCTGCGACCAAAGCGACATTAGCGCTTAGACTATCGTTACTCCTATACTTTAACATAGGCATACGGAATTCGTACTGCTAAGATTGCTTTGTGAAAAGGGGCCTAACTAGGTTCAATCATACGAAAAGTGAGTGAGTGAGTATGGTTTTACGCCGCTTTTAGCAATATTCCAGCAATATCACGGCGGGGTCACCAGAAATGGGCTTCACACATTGTACCCATGTCGGGAATCGAACCCGGGTCTTCGGCGTGACGAGCGAACGCATTAACCACTAGGCTACCCGACCGCCCCTCATACGAAAAGGCGTATGAGTGGAATATAATACACTACGCAACTTTTCAAAAGGATAGTGACTATATGGAGGCTACTTTGGACGAGTTACACGGAAGTGAATTAAATTTTACACCGCTAATGAAAGATTTCCGCCGTGCGATGGCGAGGGACACAAGTGATGGACATCTTACGCTGCACCCGTGCCGGGAATCGTTCTATATTCTGCATTGGTTTTTTTCCTGCACTAAGCACACATCCACTATTTTCACGGCGGCTTGTAAAATAATCGGGTCTGGCCCAGACGATATTATGAGCATTGAAGCCATAATTCGGGTACAGTGTCATACTATAATCCAAGTCACCAAGCTTGAGCTCTCGATCCATTTAGTAGCCTCGTACAACGAACACAGAATGCTGAGAACCAATGGTAGCCCATGACCCCTCAGGTGTATTTGTGATCGAGCCTATGCCACTGGGTTCTTCTCAGTCCTTGAAGGGTGCATGGGTGGCCAAGTCGTCTAAGCGCCGCGATTCGCTGTGCAGAGTTGCGTCCCTTGGGCACGCCAGAAACCTATGAATGGGTTCGAATCCCGGTTCGCCTCGATTATGTTTCTAGGTTTGTCAGCACCATACCCGTGCTCGGGGGTTTCACCGAAGTGGTAAACGTCTGAGACTTTCCTCCTGACACGCCGCGATATAACTGGAATACGGTAAAGCGGCGTTAAACCCAACTCACTCACTCACTCACTCACTCACTCAGTCCTTGAAAAAGCGCCACGTATATGCTTACTTACAGCCTTTATTCGAGACAAGCCTATTTTTAGCCTATCTTCAGAGAAGTTATTTTGTGGTTTGTTTAAAAAAATTCTATTTTCAATGCGTCACGGTCAAGGATCAGATAAAACATTCTGGAATTTTGGAATAGACATTTCCTTCCATGTCCTTCATGTCCCTATATAAATAAGTAATAATTATTAATCTCATACGTAAACGAGACTTATTCATTTTTCGTGTATTTTGGACAAACCATTTTATTCAGAAACATGTTTTATCAAGGGTTTATAGGATTCCACTCCAAATACATCCCCATCGTAATGCTGAATAGTATATGTCGTTTCAGGACAAACACTGGTTGATTCAACAAGCGCTCACCCCGATGCCAGATGACACGATTGAGTACATCGACACGACATTCAGAAACAGGTGGATACAGATTCTATTTTCTATGTCCGCGGTAATAATGCTGTGTGCCGTAGCCTCAATATCAACTAGGTACATGGGTGTCTTTGTCGTTTCCTTGCAGAGTTGCCCCCCTTAGGCATGTCAGAATCCTATTAATAATTTAAGACTAGCAAATTCATTTCTCGCTTTGTCTGTACCATGAGCGTGTTTGTGTTTTTCACCAAAAGTATCGGTCACGGTTGGAAGAACATGGTGCTTTGTGTAATTTAACTCACACCCTCAATGTATACTTGTAGATATATTTGTCTGTGCCAGGAGCCCAGGTGGCATTAGTCACATCGAATGATTGTTCAGAGTTGCCCCCTTTAGCCTTGTCAGGATCCGCCTTGCATTGGTTCGAATCCCATATTGACACCTGATTACGACCCATGGCCACTTGAGGCATTCCCCAAACACTGAACTGACGGGGGATGGAATACTATCATCGATGGAGTATCATTGAGTATCATTTAGAGCGGCGTTAAAACAAATCCACACAATGATTCAAGGTCATTGTGTGTAAGGGTGCATTTCGTTGGTGTATATTTATTTGAATATCAACCTACTTTGAGTGAGTGAGTGAGTGAGTATGGTTTTACGCCGTTTTTAGCAGTATTCCAGCAATATCACGGCGGGGGACACTAGAAATGGGCTTCACACAATGTACCCATGTCGGGAATCGAACCCGGGTCTTCGGCGTGATGAGCGAACGCTTTAACCACTAGGCTACCCGACCGCCCCACCTACTTTGAGAGTAATGTTGTACACCCGTAAAGATCCGGGTTAAAATAGGTCTTCAGCAACCCATATTTGTCGTAAAAGGCGACTATGCTTGTAAGAGGCGACTAACGGGATCGGGTGGTCAGGCTCGCAGACTTGATTGATGCATGTCATAGTATCCCAGTTGCGTGGATCGATGCTCATAGTGTCAATCACTGGATTATCTTTAGAAGAATTGCTTATTTCTAATGGAAATTAGTTAGTCCATGATATATTAGAAACACAATCAGGGCGAATCTGGGATTTGAACCCGCTTTCCTCGGTTTCTGGCAGGCTGCCCTGCACGTGAGACGGCTTTGCCGAACGTCAGTGCATCCACACCATGACATAGATACGAAGGATTGGTTGGTTGGTTGGTTGGTTGGTTGGTTGTTTAACGCCGCACTCAGCAATATTCCAGCTATATGACGGTGGTCTGTAAATAATCGAGTCTGGGCCAGAAAATCCAGTGATTAATATCAATTGGGATCGATGATCAACCAAGTCAGCGAGCGTGACCACCCGATCCCGTTAGTCGCCTTTGACGGCAAGCACGGGTTGCTGAAGACCTATTCTACCCCGGATCTTCATGGGTTACTTTCTAAAAAATGTCCCCGCCCCCGCTGTTGTTGCAGATGGCGCACTCTGCAGTCCTTGGACGACATGGTGGAAGGCGTGGTCAAGACGCTGGACACCAAGGGGATGCTGGACAACACCTACATCTTCTTCTCCTCCGACAACGGCTTCCATTTGGGTAACCATGACAACGTATACGTATTTATCCATGACAACATATCTCGAGGGGGCATATGGTGTGATGTACCCTGTATGTGAGCGTATGTACCTCGATCCGTCATTCGTGACAGGCCGGAATATATGTCCGCAGTGTCACTGAGTTAGCAAAACTCTTTACACTTGTCTTGAGTAACAAACAACACAACGACGGACGAGGCAAACGAACCGAGTTACTTCCCTTTACCCAATGCATTGGGATAAGCATCGGTTCATTCCAGAAACTAAACGATACTTTTGCGAAATAAACGAGTTACCTAAGATGTGTTCCGATTGGTTTCCCAGCAGATTCTATGAAATTTGTACCCCGACTGTGAAACTAATTGCCCCCCCCCCCCCCCGTCAACCAGTCAGAAGCTACTATTTTAATGTAAGGTAAGATATATAGAGCATATTTCATGTGTCGAGTGAAATATCATGTGTCTCCCATCGAGTGACAGGGGGAAAGGAGATAAATATTCACGGGTGGCGTGGAATAGGTCTTCACCTATTTATTATACCATCCCTTGTATTTGCGACTTAAAAAGTAGTTTCGTGTTTACAAAATCTTTGAAATTATAAACAAAAGTTTATAATAATTCTTTATCATACATTTAGATATGACTATATACAAAATCAACTTTAGCAAAAAATATTCTTGAATACTAGGAGACCACTGAAAGAAGCGAAAGAATACACCCTGGTCAATTAAGAAAATGGCGCTTTGCGAAACGAACAGTCTCGATTGACGACTTAAATAAGAGATTTACAGTTTATAACGAAACATTTTCGAGGGAAGAATAAACGACTAGAAGTGGTATTACATCCATAAATGACCACCCGTCAATGTGGAACTAAAGTAAAAAGAAGGGCTAGAAACTTACGACAAAGGGAGACATTTAAAGGGGTAGCAACTCTTGTATGACAAACGTTCCGTCAAAATGTTATGTTCACTGCAATGAAATATCAAGTGTTATGTTCACTGCAGTGAAATATCAAGTGTTATGTTCACTGCTATGAAAATATCACTTTTCTCAACTTCAGAAAACTCAGTCTTTCACTCTGAAGTATATAATAAATAATATTAATCCATAATGTATAACGTATATAAATGTGGTATTGTGGAAACTGTAGTATCAAAAGGTTGACAGGATTCTTGAATTTATTTAACAGGACAGTTCTCCATGCCGTACGACAAACGACAGGCGTACGAGTTCGACGTCAAAGTTCCTCTGATGGTTCGAGGGCCTGGAATCTCAAAGGACGTTGTAATTTCCGTGCGTTTTCTTTCGTTTCATACACAATGCCATTTTGGATGTTCCCATTAACTTCTATTTATTCGATATAAACGTAGTTGGGTAATTACTAATTTAATGCACTTGTTTGTTTCTATGTTAAGAAAGTAATATTTTACTTTCTTACCTTTTCGCAAACACTGGTGTCATCGCCGATTTTCAGAGATCCATTTATATAATTGTCACCACTTTTTTGCTTCTCACGCTCAATGGAATCTGTTTCAGCGGATATCCAGAATTTTTAGTCACTGGCGTTGACGTTTTATATTTTACTCGTTTCTCTGCATTGTTATCTACTCCGTTGCCACGTTTAAACGTGAGTGACTGAAACCCAGCAAGTATTTTCCAGCTGTATTGCATCCACCTGTGAATACCAGAGTTTGGACCAGACAAACCAGTGACATCGCGTATACTTTTACATAAGCATATCTTTGAACATGATTACCATGCACTGATCTGATCTTGTAAAGCGCTGTGTGGTATAACAACATACAATTGGTATATTGTTACATAGATTTTATCAGGGCCAAATTGTTGAAGGGAAGCTCTGACGTTTGGTGTTTTGATTTGTGGATACTGTCTTTTATGAAAAATGAATGTTGATGAATAAATTATTTTTTTTCCAACACGTAGGATTCAGTTCTGAACATCGACCTCGCCCCCACATTTTTGGAACTGGCAGGTGCCACGCCTCCAGCTTCGATGGACGGTATGTCCCTGTTGCCAATCCTCAATGGCACCAAGGACCCCAGCGTCCCCTTTCGAGTCCAGTTCCTGACAGAGCACTCAGGGGTGGGGTCAGACTCTGTACCCAACTGTCCCCAGTACAACGGCCAGGGAATGATGGTTTGTGAATGGAAACCATGTATTAGCTGATGTGGAAACATTGAAAATTTAATTGAAAGTGTTAATATCTTGCGTTCGCTTCAGCGAATCTATGACGAATCCTAATTTTGCTGATGACCGAATCACCGCGAAGGAAAATGTTTCTTTAACCAGTTGTGAATGGGTACTCGGTAGGATGAAACTTTTAACCTTCTAGCGCCTCACAGACAGCTTGGGTTGTATACTCCAAAGGAAGCTGAGAATGAAAATTGAGTTAACACTGATCCGTTGACCGGGGTAATACTAATGTAGTGCCATGAGCTTTCACTTTAGTGGAATGGCATATTATGAGTGTTCTTATTACTGCCATTTGTAGCAGTAGGCAATTTTAAATGCTGATGTGACTTAATAAACGTTGCGAACACCGTATTATCGGTCGTAAAACGTTCATAGAAAGTGGGGGCGGTCGGGTAGCCTAGTGGTTAAAGCGTTGGCTCGTCACGCCGTAGACCCGGGTTCGATTCCCATGGGTACATTGTGTGCAGCCCATTCCTGGTGTCCCCCGCCGTGATATTGTTTGAATACTGTTAAAGGCGGCGTAAAACCATACTCACCTCACTCACTCACTTATAGAGAGTGTGGCAAAATAGTTTCAATAGAAAACCGGATGAATAGTGGCTGTTTTAACTGCAACATAGATATCATCAACTCAGATAAAAATAATGAAATTGTATGACGTTTTACTGTTTGTTTCTTTGATGTTTAACGCCGCACTCAGCAATATTGCATCTATATGACGGCGGTCTGTAAATAATCGAGCCTGGACCACACAATCCAGTGATTGACATCATGAGCATTGATCCACGCAATTGGAATCGATGACATGCATCAACCAAGTCAGCAAGCAGACATTTTACTATCAAACGCCAATCTATATATACGTTGTATATAAATAGATATTGGGAGCAATGTCATCTGTGAATGTTTACACCCCACTCTATCGCGTAATATTGGAACGAAAACATAAATGTCATCGACAGTTACAAGGCGCAACGGTCTCGACGTCTCGGCATATATTTGCATCCGCTACATTTAACTAACCTAGTCTCTTTCTCCTGTCTTTATTGCATAATGTTTATCGCGATATTCGTGCAATGAAACGTTGACGTTGTGACGTACCAAACATTATCGATCTGAATAATATAACTTATTTAGTCGACCTCGGAAGTGTCAAGTCAAATATTTGAACGCTTTCAATTTTAACCGCAATGTAACGAATTGACTGTTACCTCCCGTAAGATATGGTTAATTTAATTTCTTTGATAAATAATTAGACGAGTGAAGCATTTAAAGAATAATTTTATTTATTAATTTAATCAGATGCTTTATGAATACAGAGTGTATTCATATTTTTGTCATTTTAAGGAAAAGATATTATAGCTTGCTTATTCAAAGCTGATATTTTGTGACTCGGTCAAGTTGTTGGTTTTCGTTTATTAATTAATTTTAATACAAGGAACTGAAAATTGATCAAATGAAATAACAATCGGTTATAACAATATGCGATGTGTGTTTTGCAGGTCTGCAAGATGCACTGCGTATGTCAGGACTCCCGCAACAACACTTACACCTGCCTCAGGTACAGGAGCAACAGCGTCGACTACAAATACTGCGAGTTTGAGGACGACAATGTAAGTACTGATGACTCCCCGACTGAGGTAACCATGGAAACAAAGGTGAAAGGTTTAATTATTGATATTTGCTTTTTATTAACCGCCACTCTTTTATGTAGTCATTTTTGTTTTATTGTATTCTTTTCGCTTTGTTTAAATTTTGTTCTGTTACCTTGTCAGAAAGCCTTTTGAGCCCAAATGTTTATTATTTCGTTTCGTTGTTTAATTCCACTTTTGTTATATTTGATTTCGTTTCCTTTACCTTTTTCCAATTTCCATACGTACCAAAATGGCAGCCTCCAGCCAGGAGTGTTGACCATGTGCTTGACCAACAGAAATACAGTCTTTTGTGTCTAAAACAGCCTTGGCGTCCTATATCCATCACGAACCGCCCAGCCCTCGCCCGTGCATCCAAGCACCGTGTTTTCATGGTCCCGCGAGGCGGATACAATAACCAGGTGACGCCAAATTCCAAATATAAACAGTGCGCTGTACGTACGCATTACCCATCCCGCCAGTGAATGGTAAACCCCAGATTCAATCATGAGACAGTATATATCTCGTGCCAAATATCCTGTTACCAAGTCACGTTCGCCATATGCAACTGTTACATTAACTGATTCTAGAACTGTACTCCTGCAACTGTCATTCAAAGTTGAACCTGTGTTGTAAGTTCTAAGCCCGGCAGCCAATCTTTGTCACGTCATCATCAACATATCGACAAGCTACAGATTCAAATACTTTAATTTTGAGGTAAATTATCTGAAGACATGGCGTTACAACCAGATACTAATACTGTTAGATCTTCCAGATCACATAGCCTTAGTCACAGTGAAAGGTCACTTGGTACAAGAAGTAAGTCCTCCAAAATTTCTGTGATATCTGGACTAAGTGAATCTCAGTCTGCAGTGGTAAGACAGCAAAGAACAGGAGCTCAGCTTGACGAACTCATGCTTAGGATGCAGGAGGATTTCAGAGTTGATGAGCAATTGCAGGCAGTAGATGACCAGGCCTATGCTGCACGCTTAGCTGCTGAGGATGAGGTGAATGCCGCTAAGAGACGGACAGAAGAAATAGAGCGTGACGCTATTCGCCGCAGAGAGGTACTAAATACTCAACTGTCAAGACAGAGACAACTGAGACAAGCTCAACAGAACTTTGCTGAAGCAACCCTAATTGCTACCATGGTAAATGAAGACCCCAACAGCAATGCAGAGAATGTACAACCTCCAGAGGAACTAACAGAACAACCAAGTTTTGATGGTAACATTCAAATACAGTCAGTAACTCGACAGGTCCCACCTACTGCTGACCCTAATGCCATTCAGTCTGGCAATGTAAGTAACACTTATAATACAGAGCAGCTTACAATTCCTGACACCTCCCAAATTCTACCCTCTGGTGACAGTCAAACACTTGGGAACCAGATACAGCGGGGCCCATATCCATCTCACAGAGTTCATCCTGGTGTACTTCATCAAGTGATTAACCCTAATCCTGGTAACCTGACAACTTGTATGCCAGTATACAGACAGAATGACCATTTTCAAGGTCAGATGTTAAACAGTGCCCAACAAATCACAACAAACAACATGTCAAGTACTTTCCCAACAGCCACTGGTGTACTTACACAGCAACCTTCCCTGGTGGGTTATGGTACCGGTATTGGTTCATATCCAAGGAGCAACCCCCAGGTAAGTTTTACACCAGCAATGGTAGTGCCTCAGCCATTGTTCTTGGATTCGCAAGCGTTTCCGTTACCGAATATGCCATATCAACAGTCACAGCCACAACAGCATCAAGCGCTCCAACCAGATATTCCAACATTGCCTCCAACCGAACAAGGAACACAACCGCCAGCGATTACTGGTATGATACCTCAGGTTGGCACACCTAACCTCACCGAACTGTTGATTTCCTCATCTTATGGCATACCAAGACCAACATTACCCAATTTCACCAGTGGAAGAGAAAAGGACTTTGCCTTGCTTAAGATGGCACTGGATAACCTGGTGAATATTCATCCACACCTTACGGAACAGTACAAATACCAAGTTTTACTTGACAAACTTGGAGGCAGTGCGAAGCGCCTAGCTGAGGCATTTATGCATGATCCCAAACCTTTCACAGCAGCCTTGCAAGCACTGAAGGACAAGTATGGTCAGCCAAGACAACTTGTACAAAGTGAGATTGGTATACTCATGAATATGCCAGCACTAAGATATGGTGACTTTGATGGGTTTGACAGTTTTGCCCTATCAGTCCATTCCCTGGTCGGTATGCTCAAGTCACTTGAGGGAGAGACCGGTTATGAACTGAGATGTGGGTCACATGTTGACCGCCTGATCGGCAAGCTACCCCCAGGTTATCGAGATAGTTTTGTAGAACATTGTATCAACCGTGATATCCTCAAGGCTGACAGTGACCAGACCTACACATTGTGTCATTTGTCAGACTGGCTGCAGACAAAATCACGTGCAAAGCGTATAGCTAACCAGGCCACAGCGCTATACAAAATGGAGAGTACTAAACCTGACAGGAGGTATCCGTCACGAACAAGTCAGAAGGGGTCTGCACCTACGGCTTTATTCTATGCAAGGGAATCCAAACCATTTGAACAGAAACCTGGATCTTCTGCTAGGAGTCATGTGACCAAGCCTTTCTGTCCATACTGTAACAGCAATGAACACTTCCTGAATATATGTCCAGGATTGAAGAAACTAACAGTGAACCAGGTACATGACTGGTTACATGACGGCAAGCGATGTTGGAAATGTGGGCGCACACATCAGCCAGACATGTGCACCCTCAAGAAACCATGTCACATATGTAAGGAAGTGCACTTGACTGTCTTGCATGAGGCTATACAGCATACAGCCTCCAAAGTGTATTCTGTGAAAGTCAGTACAGACAAAGTGTACACTGATCAACCCTCATATCCTCCTAATGTCATGCTAAAGGTTGTCAAAGTGTTGCTATATGGTGAAAGTGGTATGATGGAGACTCATGCAATCTTGGATGATGGTTCCATGAGAACTATGGTGTTACAATCAACGGTTCATGACCTAAAACTTCAGACAAAGCCGGACAGTATATTGCTTACCACAATCAACAAGGAGCCATTCAGGTGTAATGGACACTCAGTTGACCTGCAAATATCTCCTATCAGCAAACCAAACATCAGGTACAAGATTAAGGGTGCCTTCACTGCAGATAACTTGTGTATGTCCGAGTACACATATCCAGTTGAATCCCTGCAAAGGCGTTGGCCGCATTTGCAAAAGATACCGATACCTAACATTGATGGAGCTCGGCCAACTATTCTCATTGGAGCGGACAATGCCCATCTCATTCTTCCCAATGAACCAGTTCAGTTTGGACCCATCAATGCGCCTATTGCAGTGTCTACCAAACTTGGTTGGTCCCTCCAGGGTTTATCTAGTGAATCTGGACCAGAGAACACCAAGTGTATGCTCATACACAGTATCAATAATTCAGATCTTGTTGAGAGCATTGAGCGATTGTGGCAAATCGACACGTTGCCTTTCACCGAGAAACATGTGACACGCTCCAAGCAGGATAAACAGGCAATTGAGACTCTAGAATCTGAAACTGTCAGGATAGATGTCGATGGTGTTAGTCACTATGCCACCCCACTGTTACGCACACAGGATGGAACCTGCTTCAAAACAGATCAACAAATGGTTATGCCTACACTCAGGCGCACTGAAAGGCGACTTAGAGATCGTCCGGACCTTTCAAGAATCCACAATGACCAAATCAAGAAGCTAGTTGAGGCAGGATATGTAAAGAAACTCACCAAGGAGGAAGTGGAGAAATCAGAAGAATCCTGGTATTTTCCTCACCACATTGTTGAACACAATGGGAAGTTTCGCCTGGTATTTAACTGCTCCTTCGAGCACAACGGCCAAATCTTGAACGAGCACCTTCTGCCTGGGCCAACAGTCGGATCATCACTGCTGGGTGTCTTTCTTCGGTTCAGGCAACATGCAGTTGCGATATCAGGAGACATAAAAGCCATGTTCCATCAAGTAAGACTGCTTTCTCGTGACAAACCTCTTCTGCGTTTCATTTGGCGAAACATGGAACATGATCGACCTCCAGATGTGTACGAATGGCAAGTCCTACCATTCGGCACCACCTGCTCGCCATGTTGTGCCAGTTATGCTTTATGGAAACATGTCTCAGATCATAAAGCTGGCAATGAAGAAGTACTCAAATCTGTAGAGGAATCATTCTATGTTGACAATTGCTTGCATAGCCTACCTACAGCAACAGAAGCCAAGGAACTTGTACGGAAAATGAGAGACTTGCTTGCACAAGGTGGTTTCAACATTAGGCAGTGGACCAGCAATATTCCATCCGTTGTGGCAGACCTTCCGTCCGATGCTAGATCGGAAAATACAGAACTTTGGCTTACCTTCGGCCAGGGTGACTCACTGGAGCCAGCCCTAGGCTTGCGTTGGAACTGTGAATCTGATGAGCTCACCTACAAACACAGAACCATAGAGTATGAAAAGCTTACCATGAGAGTGATCTACAGGGTTCTTGCTAGTCAGTATGATCCCATCGGCTACTTGGCACCATTCCTTGCACGAGCCAAAATCATAGTACAGGACTTGTGGAAGTCAAAGAGAAACTGGAATGACCCTATAGAAAAGGGGGACATCTGTGAAAGATGGCTGACCTGGGAAAAGGAGCTAGAAGAAATCCCGATGGTCACTCTACCAAGGTGTTACACACCCCATAGTGTGGACTCTGGAAGTGCAGACCGACAACTACACATCTTTTGTGATGCTTCTGAAAGAGTGTATGGTTCAGTAGCATACTTGCGAACAGCAGACGAAGGAGCAAACATCTATGTCAGTTTCCTTATGGCGCGATCAAAGGTTTCCCCAAAGAAACAACTGTCTATGCCACGCCTAGAACTATGTGCAGCCCTCACTGGTGCTCAGCTAGCTGATGTGTTGTGCAAGGAATTAACTTTACCAATCCAGAAAGTGATATTGTGGAGTGACTCTACTACTGTACTTGGTTGGCTGAAGTCAGAATCATGCAGATACAAGGTATTCGTTGGAACACGAGTATCTGAAATCCAGAATCTCACAGATGTACAGAACTGGCGATATGTTGACACGCAGAGTAATCCTGCCGATGACATTACTCGAGGCAAACTGCTCAGAGAACTCAGCAAGGAATCGCGGTGGAAAGATGAGCCAGATTTCATGCAACAGACACCTGATCATTGGCCAGTTACCCCAGTGACAATAGACTCTGACAATACAGAGATAAAGAAATCTGTTATGTGTGGCACAATTGTTGTGAATACACCTCAGCTGCCAGATGCAGGACAGTACACTTCCTGGGACATGTTTGTGGCTGATGTTAAAGAGTCCTTTGATGGGGTGGCCTTCCCGGAAAATGCTCAACCCCTGACCGCTGAACGGTTTGAACAGATAGAGAACCATCTCTTTCAACTAGTGCAAATAGAATCATTCCCCCAGGAATTCACAGCACTAAAATCAGGTAAACGATTGCCTCCAGACAGCAGGCTCCTCCAGCTTGACCCTATCTATGATGCAGAATCAGATCTGATCAGAGTAGGAGGACGCTTACAGAGAGCTGAATCTCTAAATACAGGCATCAAACATCCAATTCTTCTTGACCCACAACATGTTATAACAAAGTTGATCATCCGGGATCAAGATGAGAAGCTCTTACACTATGGTCAGGAGCGTATACTCGCAGAGATAAGACGCAGTTTTGGATTTTGAGGGGACGAGAAGCGATTCGACGCCATCAGCGTCAGTGTTCCACCTGTCAGAAATGGCGCTCAAACCCGAGGACACAGAAAATGTCTGACTTGCCACCACCACGTCTGCGACTTTTCAAACCACCATTCTTCTCAACGGGAGTTGATTGCTTCGGACCAATGCATGTGAAGGTTGGACGTCCCTCAGAGAAACGATGGGGTTTGATATTTAAATGTATGACCACCCGTGCGGTGCATTTAGACATACTCAGGAGCATGGACTCGGATGCATTCCTCATGGCATTTCGCCGCTTCGCTTCACTGAGAGGCAAACCTTACGAACTCATCTCAGACCAAGGTTCCAATTTCCGAGGTGCTAAAACAGAGTTGCAGGAGGCACTTGCAAGCATGGAACCAGACCTTGCCGAACAACTGGCTCGCCATAAGGTCAGATTTGTGTTCAATCCTCCTCATGCACCACACTTCGGAGGTGTTTGGGAAAGAGAGATTAAATCTGTGAAATATGGCCTCCGAGTGGCACTAGGAGATCAGACAGTGACAGAACCTGTGTTACGTACCATTCTAGCGGAGGTGGCAGGGATTCTGAATTCTAAGCCGTTAGCCTACGTTTCATCAGATGTCAGAGATGTGGACCCAGTTACACCAAACATCCTGCTGATTGGCCGCCATGATGCTTCTCTTCCACAAGTCGTCTATCCAGCTGATGAACTATTAAGCAGACGCAGATGGCGCCACAGTCAAGTTCTGGCCGACCACTTTTGGGTACACTTTGTCAAATATTATCTTCCTGATATGCAGCTGCGCACAAAATGGCAGAAAGAAAGACAAAACTTGAAGATGAATGACGTTGTCATGATAGTTGATCCACAGCTCTTAAGAGCTCAGTGGCCTGTTGGTAGAGTCACTAAAACCTACCCCGGAACAGATGGATGTGTTCACACTGCCACTGTCAGTGTGAAAGACAAGGAGTACACCAGACCAATCACAAGACTCATCCCACTACCGGAATGTGCGGATGACGAAAATTGACTCTAGTTCCAGCGTGGAAAGACTTTCTTCAGATATTGACAAATTTAGTGCCTAAATTTGGGGGCGGCCGTGTCAGAAAGCCTTTTGAGCCCAAATGTTTATTATTTCGTTTCGTTGTTTAATTCCACTTTTGTTATATTTGATTTCGTTTCCTTTACCTTTTTCCAATTTCCATACGTACCAAAATGGCAGCCTCCAGCCAGGAGTGTTGACCATGTGCTTGACCAACAGAAATACAGTCTTTTGTGTCTAAAACAGCCTTGGCGTCCTATATCCATCACGAACCGCCCAGCCCTCGCCCGTGCATCCAAGCACCGTGTTTTCAACCTACAAAATTAAATTTCCCCATTTGGAGGATCCACAGTTTTCTTCATAAACATTTCTGTTCAGCGACTAGTTTTATTTTGTTTGTAAAATCTGAGGCGAAACTTTGATCCATTGTTTTATTATTTAAAAAGAATATGTCTATACATCTATAATCAGTGACCCAACAACATAATCTGTGATAAAACAACATTATATGTGGCTTATAAATGTTATTGATATGGTCTCTCAATTAAAATGTCTCTGAACTTATATTTTGTTCGAAGGCCACCCTTGGTGTTTTCCTCAAATGTCTTGAGAAAGTCCTTTGTCGTGGACGTATATGATCTGACAGTGTTTTCCTGCGTAACCTTCTGGGACGAATTCTAAACATGCTCACCTGTTTCACGAACAACCGGTGTCATTTATATTTTGCAATGCTTCGTGAGTACAGGATTTCAGGATGCCAGGATGATCTTTTCCTTCATGATTTGATTTTGTTACATTTTATGAAATAAAAGAGCGATATGAACTGGCGGTTATATTACAGTAAGCAAACCATATTATTGTGTGTGCCTATACAGGGAACAATCTATAAGAGAACCTCTGCCATTTCAGCTATCAAAACGAGTCACAGTTGCAGAACGCGGAAATAAACTCGCTCAAGCTTTCCACATTGCACACGTAAAACACTCCGTCCATTGTAACACATCCCGGCTACACGCATGTGCCAATAAACGTCACACTCTTTGGTTGGGTAAACGACGGAAAATGCCTCCAATCGTGTACAGAAAGTGAAACATTGCACGTAATAAGCTCGATGGAAGCATCACTTACGGCAACGGGGTGGATCTGACGATCTTGCAAAGGAATATAACCGATCAACGTCATGTGGACCACATTTCACGACCAATGGTCATTCTATCTGCCCAGTGCATTGGTCAGAACATTGATTTCAAGGATGACTACACACATCCTCACAGAGCTCGTATTGAAGTCGACCGTCTGAGAAAGCAAGGTGTCACAATATTGCTCTGGTCAGCCAAATTTCCAGACATGTCACCGATTGAACACATTTTTGGTGTTCTGGGCCGAAGGGTTCGCAACCGACGTCAGTGATCCCAGAGCAGTTCCCTGGGCAGGCTTTACGGGAAGAATGGCGAAAGATACAACGGGAGATAATCCGGCGTTTAGTTTCCAGTTTGCCCAGCAGATGTCGTGCCTGCATCGATGCACACGGGACATAGACCGGATAAGGACTTTACTATGGAGATTGAATCCCTCAACGCCATTTCTTCAATGTCATTTCAGAACATATTTAGAGGTTCAATTAAATATTGTGTCCTAGTATATTAAAAATGTCATCGGTCTTTATTTACCCCGACTGTTACAAAGTTCGTTAGCATTTCGCTAGCTTGATGCACTATGTCCCCCGATTGTTTCAGAGTGTCCAGGAGGTGTATAACTTGAAGCAAGATCGGTATGAGCTGACGAACATAGAGCACCATGCTAGCGAGAGGCTAACGAATGTCAATATGTTCCCCGATTGTTTCAGAGTGTCCAGGAGCTGTATGACTTGAAGCAAGACCGGTATGAGCTGACGAACATAGTGCAACAAGCTGGCGATAGGCTAACGAATGTTAATATGTCCCCCGATTGTTTCAGAGATTCCAGGAGCTGTATGACCTGAAAAAAGACCGGTATGAGCTGACGAACATAGTTCACCAAGCAAGCCCTGAGATCCTTGCAGTCCTTAAAACGAACCTTAATGAGATGAAGATATGCACGGGAGATTCATGCCACGGTGCAAATTCACACCACATAAGATAATCCATTGGTCACCGCTGTCCCATTTAACACAACACTGTTCACTTGTGTTTCTTTTGTAATGGAAGATACCCGTAACAATAAATGAGAAAATTGCTTATTTTATTATTTCAAAATAGTAAGTTTTACATAAATCGTGTTTTACCCACTTTTCGTGTAAGGGACAGTGCGTAGTTTAACGCCGGTTTCAGCTCAACTACGTTTATATCACGGCGTGTCAGCCTGATGTGGGAGGAAAGCCCCAAATGGTCTTGGACATATACCACTGTCTGAGTCGTAAAACCCCACGAGCATGGGTATGGCGCTGACAAAACCAGTCAGAGTGGGATTCGAACCCAAGATCTGGCATGTCACTTTGGACAGCGAATTGTGGCGTCTTTATACTATCAGTGCCACCTCAAAGAACATGAGGTTGTCATCAAAATATTCAACCGATAACGTCTTAGTATCATATGGAATTTGACTTTGTGTCCTTGGTTAGTAAATGAGGTAAATAAGTATGTGCTTTTCAGACCGGACACAAGCAAGCGGTTGAAATGTGATTAAAACACCGTAGATAATGATGTAATCGACTTTGACGTATCCGAAAAAAGATTGTGGTTCCCAACGTAGCATGTTTAATAAGTTCGACTCAACCAATAGCTCGATACATATAGTAGTACTGCAAAGAATGGTGTAAAAACAATATAACACGAGTAGCACTTGGTAGTTTATTCCAATAATGAATCTTCAAGGTCGTTCAGGAACATATCGATTCGTGTTGCTTGTTGTTAAATGATTTGAACAATATCGTTATTACAATATTAGGTTTTGTTGTTGTCTGGCAAAATGTCGGATTTTTGTTCCACTTCGGACGTTTTGATTGGTCAGCCATGTTATTTGATTGACAGGTGGCGATATGTTAATTCTAACCCCAAAACAGTGGCCGATTGTTAAAATAATGTTCAAATTCTACGTGCTGATCAAATCGTATATATCGGAGTAGACTGTGAATAGTGGTGCGTGACCCATTCTACACTTCAAGAGACAATTTTATGGTTTGTCAACAGTTTCAAGGTCAATGCATGCATAAGGTACCTTATGAACTAAACTGTATTCAATAATACATTTACATCGAAATATGTGCTTTGACCTTATGGGTACTTTGTGGATATGTTTCAGTGGAGGTAATTACATATCTAAATATATAACAATAACAAATTTAATCAGTTTAATTCTTATTTGTAAGAGGACATAATCAGTTTTTCGCGTTTTCAAATATTATCATCTTTAGCATCTTCGATTATCCATGTTCTTCCCATCTCCATTCTATCTATGGTGAACACGGATGCGGAATATCGACACTGCATCATTTACCTCAGATGGAAACATTCAAACTTCATCCTTAATCTCATACAAGATCGTACACTGTTCCATCAACATCTACAATGGTCGCTGAAAGACGTTTGGCCGAACTCACACTCATCTACAGTTCGATGTCCTTTCTTACAGTTACACAACACACACAAACTCAACCAACTCGAAGAGAGGTTCTATTCTTTTGACAATGCAGTGATCAGAAATTCTGCTGACGTCAGCATATGATACAAAAACTGGTTATAGTTGTCATCGAGCAGTTACGTTGGACGCAGCATACAAGTGTATATATCCAGAGAAGGTGATAGTATCCCGCCAGCCTTATATATGTTCTGATGGCCACTAAATTCCGAGATGTAATAGCACCATCATTAGTTACCAGCACCGGATGAGAGCTTTAGCCTAGTAGGTTCGTCCACTCGGTAGTCGTAAGGCGTCACGACGAGATTCTATTCCGGAACATCCGGCTTCTTCCATGCATCTTCTTCCGGTCCTAGATAAACGAAAGATTAAGAAATAAGACCATCCTCCTCATCCGTTTGGTATCTGCTGAGCATATTTTTGCCTAAGACTTTTAAAACAAATATGTTCGCTGGACAAATACAAAATATGTCGCGAAACAGTGACCGAAAAATAATCTGAATCCGACAAATATCCCAAACAACAGTTTTTCATGTTTTATTATATTTAATAGAGAGTGAGTGAGTGAGTTGAGTTTAACGCCGCTTTTAACAGTATTCCAGTTATGTCACGGGGTGTCAGCTTAATGTGGGAGGAAAGCCTGAAGTGATGCAGGTCTCAGACGTTTACCACTTCGGTGAGACACGGGTATGATGCTGACAAACCTAGAAACATAATCGGGGCGAACCGGAATTCTAACCAACAATCATAGGTTTCTGGTGAGCCCAACTCTGCACAGAGAATCGCGGCGCCTTAGACGACTGGGCTACCCGTGACCCCTTTTATTTAATAAATGAAGGGTAACAATTTCAGGGCATGTTTAAAATATCTAAACTTGTAACCTTTCCTTTCGAAAATGAAATGAATATATTCTTATGGTTGACCTCAGAGTATATCCTCCCTATTGAAGGTAGCCAGCGAGTATTCATTCCATGCGCGGCTATTCCCAATACGAGACTGACACAGTATTGCTACTTTTAGTGTCACAGTATTTTTCAACGCATATGTCTTCCCTGGTAGTCATAACAGTGGTGTCGTGTGCAGAAAAGAAATTCTATTTTGAAGTATTTAGATCACGTGTTACATAAGTCCTTCCAGACCTTGTCTACCGGTCGATGACCTGCTTTAATAACGTACCGGTCTTAGGAAAGGGACAGCTTTTTCATGTCCTCCAAGTGACTTGCTCTGTTTCCGGGTCGCTGTCTCCTCTTTCCCGGCATGCTTTCCCTTGTCACGTGTGCTGTCGTTGACTTCCGTCTTCTTCTGCCCAGCGCCGAAAATGTCCTCGTGGTATCTGTTTTCATTCTGTAACACAGAAAATACCAGAATGCATCCTATAACCTGACATCGTTTTAGCTTCGTATTTTTGTTTCAATGTGTTCTCAGTTTGCGAACATGGTCCTTGGCTGCTTGAAGTGTTACACGTGACCTCAGTTTGCGAACATAGTCTGTGGCTGCTTCTAGTGTCTATATTTACCCTCAGTTTTCGAACTTAGTCTGTGGCTGCTTGAAGTGTTACACGTGACCTCAGTTTGCGAACATAGTCTTTGGCTGCTTCTAGTGTCTATATTTACCCTCAGTTTGCGAACATAGTCTGTGGGTGCTTCTAGTGTGTATATTTACCCTCAGTTTGCGAACATAGTCTGTGGCTGATTCTTGTGTCTATATTTACCCTCAGTTGGCGAACATAGTCTGTGGCTGATTTTAGTGTCTATATTTACCTTCGGTTTGCGAACATAGTCTGTGGCTGATTCTAGTGTCTATATTTACCCTCGGTTTGCGAACATAGTCTTCGGCTGATTCTAGAGTGTAAATTTACCCTCAGTTTGCGAACATAGTCTTTGGCTGCTTCTAGTGTCTATATTTACCCTCAGTTTGTGAACATAGTCTCTGGCTGCTTCTAGTGTCTATATTTACCCTCAGTTTGCGAACATAGTCTTTGGCTGCTTCTAGTGTCTATATTTACCCTCAGTTTGTGAACATAGTCTCTGGCTGCTTCCGGTGTCATCTTTCCATGTTCTCTCAGAATCCGCTCTAGCGTCTGCTTGACGTTATCGGCCATTTCGACATCGCCACAGATGTAGATGTGTCCGCCCACTTTGACCATGGTGTTGAAGACGTCCTTGGCGTGCTGCTGCAACATGTCCTGGACGTACATCTGTGGAGGAGATGGAACACTGACCAACATGTGTGCAGAAGATGGAATACTTGACTATCTGACGTGGAGGCACACATTCATAAAACCTTTCGAGGACTTGAGATTAGACAGATGGGGGCAACCTTTGCAAAACATCACAGCTTTACGCCATTGGGTCGATACCGTTTTTAAGCTTGCAATAACATAAAATGGGTGCTATGGATAGCTACTAATGTTTCTTGTGTTTATGTGTTGTGTATGTTAGGGAAAAACGAAATTAGCGGTAATCACTAAGGTGAAGAAATCCGGCTAAGCGAGGATTTAGATTGACGTATAAAACAGGATGACATGACATTCTTCACATCCCTACCTTGGGTCTGCCTGGCTCACGGGACAAGGCCACATAGTAGTCCTTCAGCACTCTCTGGTTCTTCATGGCCGCCAACTCCGAGTCATAGACGTGATCCTGGCTGGAAGACCGGCAGCCGAAATACAACTGCATGTCACCCCAGCCTCGCCGATTGGAGTCTGAAGAGCAGAATATAAATGTAGAGTCACAGAACATACAGGGAACACAACACCATGTTACCCTAACCTCGACGATTGGCGTCTGCAGTACAGAATATACACAAGTTCAGTCGCAGAACATACTGGGAAGACAACCCTGTGTCACCCCAAACTCGCCGACTGGCGTCTGAAGAGCAAAACAAACATAGAAATACAAATCGTGAAAGATACAAAATTTCAGTCATATAACACACAACCTCATGTCTGCCTGGGGCTTTGAAAAACGACTACAACATACATGAACATGAAACCGGTTTTGATTGGAGGGAGAACCAGGAAAGTAGCGTACATGTAAAAGGCGTATCTTCGGTTGTGACGGTCCGTGTTCTATTTTGTCAGTCGGTTCGCTAAATCTCTGCCAGTGAAGTTGGCATAGATACTAGACGTTGTTTCAAGTGTGGCTTTTCCTCGGTTTGGTTTTCTTCAGAAAACTGATAAGGCAATCACAAAAAGTGCAGTAACGGACTCACTTGTCGGAGTATGCCCCCTGGCCATGTCCACCTGCCGCTGTTGCCAGAAGCTCCTGAAGGGGGCGATACCTGTCCCTGGCCCCACCATCATCACCGGCAGCGTCTTGTCCTCTGGTAGGCGGAAGTTGGGGGCGCTGTCGTAGAGAGAGGTGGATACAGCCGTTTAAACTCATATATGCCTCCGTTGTCTTGATGGGATTCAATATTGCTGAACCCATGTTACATATTCTCGAAAACTCATACATTACGGTTTGGAAAGGATGTACAGTGGACTGGCAATCTCAATTAAAATCAGATCTTAGTTCTCGCTACCGCTAAACAAAGATCTGAGGACATCCCATTACAGATCGACCTTGCGCGAACTTTGACCGACCAATGGAATGACCAATCAGAAGGAAGCTTCCTCGTGCTTTACGGCACTAATTTCAAATTTGCGACTACGCTTCGAAACATATTTTGACAAATTCTCGATTACAAATTTGAAACCTAAACAAAAGAACACTCTGGAATGGCTAATAGATGGTCTATATAGTATGTATTCAGTCGTTAAACCCGTAACTATCTTTCGGAATACCCCGTGTTAAAGTTTTCGAAATTGCATGATTAGAAATCACATTCCGACTGTCACTTTCATAATTTGGTAAGCGACGCTCTGATTGGTCGGATGAAAGGTCGTTCTGGCGTGACCCCTAATGGGATGTCTTCAGATCTTTGTTTAGCGGTAGCGAGAACTAAGGTCTGATTTTAATTAGATTGAGTGGACTGGATGATTGATTGTTTGTTGTTTAAGGCCATACTCAGCAATTTTCCAGCTATATGACGGCGGTCTGTAAATCATCGAGTACTGACCAGACAATCCAGTGACTGTCATCATGAGCATCGATCCACGCAATTGGGATACGATGACATGCATCAACCAAGCCAGTGAGCCTTACCACCCGATCCCGTTAGTCGCCTCTTACGACAAGCACAGTCGCCTTTTACGGCAAGCATGGGTTTCTGAAGACCAATTCTACCCTGGATCTTCGCGGGTCTGGATTGGATGAAGAGGCGACCCTTGTACATCAATTCATATTGGTGAGTTCTGGTTAAACATCGCTTTTTAACGGTCTTTCAGTTATATCAGGACAAGTCCTAAATGTTAACAATTGTAAACCTACTTCCACGGTTATAATGCTAACCATGGATTATAATCATATCAAACCTGGATTCAAACCAACAACCACCTTATCCTTTCCGCTAAGGGACAGAACTTTTGAAAGCAAGAAAGGGCGCCTTAAACCCATTGGGCGACCCATATGGCCATTAACTCGATATGAACAATGATTTAGTCCTAAAGTACATGTGTCCAACTTGTCGCGTGTACGGACCTTGGTTGATTCCCTAAAATATTCACCCAGAGACACCCGGCATGAAGGCATTTTCACATTACCCATGTTTCAACTACCATTGGCAAACCTATAAAATATATCAGTCCCATAAATAGTTAAGTGCCTTTTTCTATGTTTTTCTATATGAGAACGTCCCTTTTGAATTTTATGACAAAACACATTTAATTTTGATTACGAAAAACATATTGATATTGAATTGTTTATATGAATATAATGGTGGGAGACTGTGGGAACGCTGTGTGGGTGCCTAACTTTTGTCCAGGTGTATATGACCACTCACGCTCTGATGGCACACGGGATGACCTCTCCGATCTGGAGTCTGTTCAGCCATCCGGAACACAGACCCTCATGATTTACACCATCTGCAGATCAAGAAAAGTTTTAATAGAGGATAAACCTCTGATATTTGAGTATTGTTTTATGCCGCATTAACACTGTTGGGGCTATTCGCGCCTGTTGGCATATGAAGTGTCAATGACATTTTACCAGTTGTCATGCATAGAACCATACTGACCTTGAGTCGTGTACTTGAGCACGGCGACAGTGGCATGGACCTCGTTGGGGTAGGCGTCGTGAGACGAACTGATGCTGTAATAACGCTGTTTCAGGAGGGGGAGCTGCGTGACCAGCAGTGAGGTGGGTACCCGGAGGGAGGGGAATTCCTCCAACACCCCAAGAAGGGTCGGCGTGCTCGTATCCCTCCACTCCTCGTAGACGCGGGTGTCCTTCAAACAAACACAAAACAAATCTCAAGAAAAGAAGTCCATCATCACAGGGTAGTTGAGATGTAACTCCCTCAGAGGAATCCAGACGTGTATATTTTGAATTATATATTATATTGAAATAACACCATATGGGATCATAAAATCGGTCCGGTAAAACCTTGATGGGAACCGAAGCCAGACAAATTCACTGCGCATGGAAATATTCTTGATTCATGTACACACCAAATTTAATGTAATGATTCTGAACATTTTAGTAGATTTTCATACAGATCCCAGAGCACCCTCATTCCACTGCCACCACCTTATGATCTCTACACATCCCCTTTTAAGAGGCTTGGTGGTTCCTTTAATACGTTTGGATTCTCTTGCAGAATGCTCCTATTTGAACTTACCCACAGCTCTGTTCAGGGACGATGTATTGCTCTACCATGTTTGCTACATGACGTCAAATTGTTGCATTGTAATACCATTCATTGCTTACAAAGACACACACTCATAAGTTTACATCACCACATCAGTAGGTTGACAAAAGAGACTCACAGTGGTCAACAGGTCAAGTCTGTCCTTGTCCTGGTTCCCGCCTGCCAATGTGGACAACACCTTCAGGAGGTCCTGGGTTGGGGGCGTGGTCACGTCCAGGTAGCGGGTAAAGGCGGTTCTTAGAGAGCACGACGGCAGCTTATCCCATACCATCCACTTCTCAGCGGAGCCTGGTAATCACATTTTCCTTGTAAGCAAGTAACGTTTTTTGCTTCTAAGATATATGCTCGGTTCAACCTCTGCATAAATACAAACTGTTTTCAATTATACCAGCAGCGCAGTGAGGACCTAGGATAATGCCAATGCCAGAAGGTAATACGCATATTGCATATTCGAAGAGATGTCACACGCTAACGGAAGTCTTTTCTATATCTTCCCACACCCGCAACCGTCAGGAGTACAACAAATAACTTGAGTAGCACATGAAACTATACCTCTAAGTATATTTATCATATGTTAATTTTTCAATTGCAAATATCTTAGATAAGCAATTATATAAAGAAGAATGAACAGAACAGCGCTTACTCAGCACTCAAAGAATATTTCAACATGCTTTACTTTTACAAATATAATTTGATCTAAAGCTTCAAATAACTGTTAACTTTTTCTTTCGCATGATGCTCAACTGTTGATGAAATTGATTGTATTGGCAGCTATCTAAATTGCTCGATAACTGTACGTGACACCGTACAAAGTTTGTGTACATAGAGATTACTACAAGAGTGTCTGTCCGATACCATTGATCTTACAACGAGTTGTTTCAAAACGTATCTAACGAGCGAAAGCGAGTTAGATAGTAACACTTTGTAACAACGAGATGTAAGATCAATGGTATTGGACAGGCTCGAGTGCAGTAATCTGTTTCTTACACACCCTAAAATCGCACCTTTTAAGCATCGATTCGATGCATTTTGTCTATTCTCATGCTTGCAGTAGCGCGTTAATACTTTACACTACGGCCATGAGTGACGTCATCCGACGTACTGCTTACTATGCATATATAATGTGACCCTACACAAAAAGGTTTCCGCCACATATGTGGATTATCAAGGCGATGATGATAATGCAAACTAGACAAAGACAAAGAACACGCTAGATGCCGAGTTTGAAGTTTTCACCTCAAAGAAATTACCAAATATGTAAAACAATGTCTACTTCCGTATGACATCACTACCGGTGACCGACTTTTACAAAATGGCGTGTTCACTGACAACAGTACGCGATATTTCCAGAGGGTGATTTCCGTTGATTGAGGGATCGTATGTTCATAAATGTGTCATGTAAGTAATCAGAAACATTCTGACAATCTGCGTACTGTTACTTGATTTATGTTTTCCTATTTAACAAAAAGAATTAGTCAGAAATGCAGATAACTACCGCCGTCTTTGTGTGTGATTTTGCGTCAGTCATTGCGTCATACGGGACGGAAACGTTTACGATTTCTGTTGAATGTACTACATCATTGTAATGTATATATGTGAAAATTCCATAATTCGTGCAACGATACTCTTCCCGTGAATATTCTCAAACGCGCGATCGAGCCAATGTATCCAACAATTTGACAAAAGTACCTCTAAAAATGCTACACAGTGTAGATAAAATCTGAATTTTGCTTTGTTTACAGTTTTCCGACCAGTGTACGTTTCCACACTTAACTTATTTCGCTTGATTTTATCTACATAATTTGGATTGGTGACAAAGACCATTTGTCATTTGATTCATAAATGTATGAGGAATTCAGGGATGCATGTATCGCAGCTGAGTTTGAAAAAAAATAAATATTCGTGATCTAATAGGCCTCTCATAACCGGCAGTTTGTAAACACAGTCCAAAATGGCGGAACGTACACTTCGGCGTTTGCGACGTTTCAGAATTATCATGAGTAATTTCATGATAAACAGATACCCGTGATCACTAATATGCTATTTTTGAAATTTAATTCTTTGAGTAAATATCCGATATTTATGTTTCTAAACACAAATTATCACGCTGGCAGAGTTACGTTTGGCCGCAAGGAACTCTGAGTAGGAGGGTTGCAGAAAGTAGCATTGTGTCAGATTAGTTTAATTGATTTTAGTAACAATATATATATATATACATATAGATATTTAGACCATAATATTTACGTTAGAAATGAATTTATTAAGCATTATATAAATCTATGTTGCGGTATACCTTGGGCAGTTGTCTCCTCCTTCATTATCTCTGTCCGCATAAGCTGTCCGGCAGGGGGCGCATCGTGTAGGCGAGACAAGATGGCTTCCACCATTTCTGGTGAATTTGAGGGAAATATGGCAACGTGATCGCCTGGGCTGTACTTCATGGCAGTGGAAGAATTGGTCCCCAGCCTGACCAGGATAGTTTGGCGCCTGGACGAAAGAAGCGGAGGTTACTGTATCCCCTTATCCGTCATTGTCCGCACATAGCTCATTATTAGGTTTTTATTCCGGTATATGGTCTTTGCTGGGAGCAACGGATCAATCCGTCGGTAAATCGTGCTAATAGACGCTATAGAATGTACTGGGCACTTCCACATATCCGTGTGGATACAAATAATAATTAAACCATTCCTAAAATCTGTATAGCAATACCTTCAATTTGTTATGAAATTTGAATAAGAAAAAAAATAAAAATGTAAGTGTTTTGAAAAACAAGATGGCGGCCCCCACAAAACACTTCGTGTTCTCGTGATGTACGTTACCTTTATAAACCGAGGAGTCTGGAATTAGGATCGCGCGAACGTTTAATAGCAGATATTTAGCGATTACACAGAGAATGGAAGACCAAACCAAACACGTGACCTTATTACGTCACGGAATTACCTTTCTGCACACGACACCAGTTTTGTATCTTCCTGTTAGGACTTTTGTGAAGAAAAAAAACAGAGATGAAAAAAATGGCACGATAATGTGAACATCGTTTAGGAGATAATTGCGTGCGTAAATATACACGATCTGGGGTCGTACGGAATGCGGAGAGTCACTGTGTAGTGGAAGACAGCTGCAGTAGCAGCTACACTGTATGAAGGTGTGTGTGTGTGTGTGTGTGTGTGTGTGTGTGTGATTTGCTTCTACTTACGGCGACGTGGTGGACTGCAACTGCGTCCTCTCCAGCACCCTACAGGGCACGACTGTCTTGTGGTGAAGCCGGCCTAGAACTGGAAGATAAGGATAATAAAGATAATGATGTTGTTGTTGTTGCTGAAGATGATGACGATGATTGTTTCTAGACTAACGAGATTCGACTGTTCTACCTGTATACAAGCAGGGCGTGTGCACTGACAAGTTTGTAGACTAACGAGATTCGACTGTTCTACCTGTATACAAGCAGGGCGTGTGCACTGACAAGTTTGTAGACTAACGAGATTCGACTGTTCTACCTGTATACAAGCAGGGCGTGTGCACTGACAAGTTTGTAGACTAACGAGATTCGACTGTTCTACCTGTATACAAGCAGGGCGTGTGCACTGACAAGTTTGTAGACTAACGAGATTCGACTGTTCTACCTGTATACAAGCAGGGCGTGTGCACTGACAAGTTTGTAGACTAACGAGATTTGACTGTTCTACCTGTATACAAGCAGGGCGTGTGCACTGACAAGTTTGTAGACTAACGAGATTCGACTGTTCTACCTGTATACAAGCAGGCCGTGTGCACTGACAAGTTTGTAGACTAACGAGATTCGACTGTTCTACGGTACCTGTATACAAGCAGGGTTTCTGGATGAACAAGAATCGACTGTTCTACCTGTATACAAGCAATGTTTCTGGACTAAGAAGACGTTTCCGAATTGGCAAGGTTTTACTACCTGTACACAGGTCCCCCTCCTTCCCGTCAGGAAGTTTTGCTATACGGAATCTGTTTGGCGTCCACATGCCGTCGCTACTGGACAGGTCGCCGTCGAGGTTTGTGACGTCCATGTCACTGTCCACGTGGAACGCCTCCAGGGAGGCCTGCAGTTGTAGAAGCAGAAGGCTGATCATTTTTCAACAGACGGATAATGTTTGGTGACAGGTCTATGTAAACGTCGGACTTGTTACATCATGGAACACAGTTATGAAGATAGTTTACTCCAATACGACGCCTGTCTGCGTGGAGAAATCGGACAGCCCCTCCATGGGGGTTCGCGTCAGACGAACTTTCTAAATGCCAATTTGCCCTGAGACGAAATTCTCGGTACGAGTTAGCGAAGCATTCAGACAAGCACATATGAATTCTGTATGTCAAAAACATACTAAAAACCAACAGCTTGGAATGTAAATAATAAAGGCCACGCCATTAAATTGTTGTGGATGGTTTATACCATTATCATTTCAGAGCGCATGCGCCTAAAAGAGGGGTCCCATCGAAGGAAAATTTGTGTTCTATGTGTGGTTCTTTTGTTAAAAGAGACATTTTCGAATTAAGGCGGTAAATAATTTAGTTCGAGCAATTTGTGTCAGTCAGCATTTCAAAACTTTATTTTCTCTGAAAGGATCAGACAAACCGTTATTTGGAAACCAAAACATATTGTTTTCAGAACAGCCATCATGTCCAGTAACTTCGTTTTGTTGTGTAAAACCTAAGGACAGATGCTATATCCATGACTTTTTGGGACCTATTACATTGTTAAGGTTAAATCCCAGCAAGAAACACACAAAAGCCTTACCTTAAAGGCTTGCTTGGCCCAGGTCTTAAAGGAGTGCTCCTGCCTGCTCAGTTCATCCCCCTCCCCTGTCTCCAGGATCTTCTGACCTCCCAGGTCACCTAGCAGCGAGTCCAGGAAGTGACCGAAAGCGCAAAAATGGGGGTAGGCCCTGGATCCCAGTCCAAACACTCCGTACCTTAATAATAATGTATGTCAACTATCTTTAATTTTAACGGGAGGTACATGTGTATACTTAAGCTTTTAGGATAAATTGGCAAGAATTTGTCAGCGTCACATGTCTGCAGACTGACCATTTCACAATCGGTATCCTCATCATTGTAAGATAATTCTAACCAAAAAGGTTATCAAAGTATTAAAATAAGATCCAATATTCCTGCATTCACAGCCATACATAATCGACACTGGGGCAGGCAGACAAGTGACTGACAGCATAAGCAAAAAACCGCTCCGTCGGGGTATGGTGCCAAACAATCACCCAAGTCACAATGACTGACAACCGATCCACATTCGTCATATCTTACAAGAAGCATGAGGTAATAGGGACCTACAATGTATTTTGCACCAGAATGCTTTCGAGACTACATCACGGGGCCTCTGTATACAGGAATCGCGTCTGGGCTAGACAAATCAGAGGTTCATATTATGAGGAATGGACCACACAAACTGGCTTCGATGACACTTAATCGGCCTTGTCACCGAACCTCACCATCCCGTCCACGTTGTCGTCATTTACGACATGGTTTACGACATGGTTTCGGTTTCCACCAGAGCCAAGGGGACCAAAATAAAAAATGCACACCTGATATTTTTTAGCAGTCCCGCCGACTTCCTCGAAGTGCTATTGGTGCTGGAGTTCCCCGTCACTGTGTTCTTGCTTCTGTTCACGTGAGTAGAGTGAATAAATGACTGAGCTTGGTTTAACACCACTTTAAACAGTATTTCAGCTTGGTGTGAGAGGTAAGTTCGAATTTATGCCGGTCTTACACAGTTACCACTTTAGTAAAACCCGCGAGCACGGATATGATGCTGACAAAGCAATAATCGTAATCAGGGATTCGAACTCACGATTGTCGATCATGACACACCAGTGATCCAACTGTGTACAGATAAATGCACCTCCTCAGATGATTGACAAGTGAATGAAATACTATCAGTTATTTGTACATAAAATAAATAAATAATAGCTAAACACCCCTTTCCATAATCATCAATACCCATGGTACGATTCCGACTATATCATAGTCACATTGTCACATGTGAGAAATTAGTGCGAGTACTCTTAAATAATAATCTTCAGTTTAATTGCGGTTGCAATGTTGCTTAACAGTTGGCCCTCTGGAAAAACCTTGAAAGATGTAATCACATTGCCGTCTCTACTAAAATGAGGTGGTAGTTATTATGGTCTGGAAGTGGGGTACTCACTTTTTCACTGCTTCGGAGTGTCGCAGCTTTTCTAGGCTTTTGGCGAATGCCTAGAATAACAAAATAATCAATGGTTAAATATAAAAAAGCCTTGAAACATGATCACCGTGACAGGGGGGTTGTTATAAGATACATACATGTATTTCTTTACAAATCTCTCATGTGATCTCCGGGTCATTTCAGTCTTTTAATTACATGGTAAAACATTTCACAAACCTGTGATAAATTAAATTTATAATTGTGAGTACATTATATTTTCTTCTCTCCGTGTATGTGAACATACTTTAGTAATGAAAATAAATTTAACAGTAGGTCAATATGGGAAGGGAAATAGCAATATGCCCTTTTACTGAAAACTCTTTATTTCCTTTATCAGCCCTTCGAATAAGGAAACAACATTAACTCTTATGCTTAAAGATGGAGGCCTAACCTTGAAACCAATACCTACCTCGCCATTCTCCGGGCCGTCGCCGTTGCCGAAGGTGCTGGTGACGACGAGGATGAGGTCCTGCCGCTGCAGCTCAGTCAGGTCTATGTCCTCCATGCACACGACCTGTGTGTGAACGACGGAGACAACGGTTACTCCTGTGTCGTGGACTGCTGCTGACATTTGGGACACGTGCAACTTCAGTTTGTATATTGCCATTTCAGCAATATTAACATGGCTTCCACCACATGGGGCGGTGTCCAATTGTTTCGAAATAAATCCGATATATGTTACAGCAAATAGCAGAAGTAATTAACCTCAGGTCTATCATTTTATAACCGGAGCACAAGAAACGAGTATTTATATCATAAGCTTACCCAGGTAGTAAACACATCTTGAATGTCTGACACAACGGTCTGACGAATCGCTCTGACACTGTAATTTTACCCTGGTAGTAAAGGCAGGCTTGAATGTCTGACACAACCGTATGTCGCCCTGACACTGTAATTTTACCCTGGTAGTAAAGGCGCGCTTAAATGTCTGACACAACCGTCTGTCGCCCTGACACTGTAATCTTACCCTGGTAGTAAAGGCAGGCTTGAATGTCTTACACAACCGACTGTCGCCCTGACACTGTAATCTTACCCTAGTAGTAAAGGCAGGCTTGAATGTCTGACACAACCGTCTGTCGCCCTGACACCATAATCTTACCCTGGTAGTAAAGGCAGGCTTGAATGTCTGACACAACCGACTGTCGCCCTGACACTGTAATCTTACCCTGGTAGTAAAGGCAGGCTTGAATGCCTGACACAACCGACTGTCGCCCTGACACCATAATCTTACCCTGGTAGTAAACGCACGCTTGAATGTCTGACACAACCGCCTAGCGAATCGCTCTGATCTGCCGGTCTCTGTGGCGAACACGATGACACAGTTAATGTGGCTGGCCACTGCCTTGGCCTGAGACTGGGTCAGTCTGTGGACAGAGTGGGCATACTCTGAAGTAAATATACATAATGGCTCCTTTTTTGGTTTGGCAAGAGCTGCTCCCTAACTTACTGTGAAAAGTTGCGTCCCTTAAATCTTTATACCATGCTGTAACTTCGAGCTTTCCTCCAACATTACGCTAACACTGCCTGATAAATAGTATTCAAAGCGACGTTAAACCAAACTCACTAACTCACTTGTTTGGTTTTGTATTTACGACTGCTTCAAGTGTACTAGTTTAAAGGGTCGATTTAGTGAGGAGTGAGTTGTGTTTAACGCCGCTTTTAACATTATTCCAGTTATCAGCTTAAAGTGGGAGAAAAGCCTGAAGTGATGCAGGTCTCAGACGTTTACCACTTCGGTGAAACCCACGAGCACGGGTATGGTGCTGTCAAACCTAGAAACATAATCGGGGCGAACCGGAATTCGAACCCACAATCATAGGTTTCTGGCATGCCCATGGGACGCAACTCTGAACACCGCATCGCGGCGCCTCAGACGACTGGGCCACCCGTACCCACAATTTAGTGAGGAGGAAAGTTTGGATAAAGAGATGTCAGCGAGGTGCAAAATGGAAACAGACTGAACATGCCGTTTTGTGTTTTTTGCATTTTGAGGTCTCTGTCTAGGAGCGAGATCCACACAAACTAAACGAACTTGGTTTCCAGATTAAATTTAGCATTCATTGTTACATATCATACGTGACTGACTACCCAGGCACGTTGAATAGTTACAAAGTACCATTAATATAGATCAGATAACATGCTTAGGTTCCATAATTGGCACAATGTTTCACATAAATTCACATTTTCACTTCACGGTCGTGCGTCCTTGAAATCCTTGTCTGATTCTGCAGGAAAGGTAATACTATTATTTTATTCACTGAACATGCATAATTAATTTATCTACATTTCTGGGGATGCCAACCACCTCCTCCCCCGAATCCCGAATACCATCTAACTTTTTATACAATACTACTCACCAGAAATCTCAAAAGCCTTGAGAAAAGGGTGCGATTTCAAGTAAAAATACTGAAAAATTATCGAAAAAAGTAATATATAAAGGAATCTTTTGCGTACATTAAATTTTTTATGATTGTTGAACTTGCATACCAAATTCGATTTAAGATGAGTCCCGCGTACCACATCGTTGAGTGGTACCCTCGAAATAGACCCCGGAAGTTGCATTCTGGGACACACTCACCTCTTCCTGGTCGCCCGTAGGTACATTTCTTCCAAGTCCTTGTTCTTCCAGACATGAACCTTCCACGCGTCGTCCTGGAATACACACATAGAGGTTAAACATATAGAGTTATAGCCGGACGCACGCATGCACACACACATGCGCATATAGAAGGTCATACACTGGCTAGAATTGAATAGTAACACACATACACCTACACAAACAAGTGCAGACATGCGCGCACGCACACACACACACAGAGTCACACATACACGCACGCACACACGCACATATAGAGGGCCATACACTAGATAGAGTTTGATAGGGACACACACTTACACATACACAAACACGTGCACACACGCGCGCACCCACACCAAATAGTCCATGCAGTGACGCCGAGTAAAAATTGGATTCTAACAGATACCCGACAGGTATGGCGCACACCAAGGAAACACGATAAATGTGGGATTCGAACCCACGCAGCTGACACTCGCATCTAACAGTAAAATACAAGCATCGATCTGTAACACGAATCACTACCTGGTACTCATAGGAAGGCTTGAGCTTGTAGACCGTCATCTCTTGGTGAAACACATCCGTCTGACTCCCACTCATCGGGGGTACCACCCACACCCAGTCAGCGGGACACCCCCCACGCTGGCGCTGCTCGTTATGGAGATGCTGGATGAAGGATTCGGACGCGGTGTGGTGGTCAACAATCGTCGCACCTGCTAACTGTGAACACACGTGGACTAGAATGACACTGGAATTTCGAAATGTTTAGGACACAAACAACCCCATGAAGGACAACTCCATTACTCCTAGCCAAGTGGTTTGGGTTTTTGTATGTCGTGGCTGCTATATATTGTAATAAAAAAGAGTACACTTATAACTCTGTGGTCATAACATGACTCTATTTATATATCCTGCCAAGAAGAGTTAAGACGACTGCATTGAATAATTAAATATATATTTTACACTCCATGTATATATCGGCATCGTCCAAAGCGGGGAATGAAAGTGTTCGGTCGGAAAGAATATGTCACACCACACAGCGTCAACGTTGATGTTGTTGATCTGATTATGCGAAGCTTTAAGCGCATTGATTAAAAACCAGTCTGGTAATAGTGGGCCTAAAAGAGAAGGCAGATCCTTTTTGGGCCCACTGGAAATGCCAAATTTGCGGAAAAAGTTGGAATGACAATTATCAGACATGTTCAAATGGATGATAACCAGCCTTTCTTTTCTTAAGCTTGCACATTAAGGACTTTTGACATGAAAATGTTTAAAATGAGTGAAAAGACCAGAGTTTGAGAACTTCAAATGAAAATCAAAGTATGAGCAAGTCCGTGACCCGGGATGAATATTTTTTCATGTGCTTGTTCTGTTTTTATGTACATCTCATTGGCACATGACTGGCGCGCAAATCTTCAAAATGCAAGGCAAAATACACATAAATCATATACTCTCAACAGTGCACGTACCTGGAAGCTATGTAGTACAGCAATGTTGACCTCAACTAGGGCTCGGTCACGCCACAGAGAGGAGTTCGCCCCAGTGTTCAGACCCATCATAACGGCAACTTTCTGATATTGGCAAACAACGAGAGAATAAACCATTACTTTGCAATGACTGAAAATAATGGAAACATAAGTCAGCGATACCAATATTAATTAATCAGAACAAAACACGCGAGTCATTGTTTGTTTGTTTATCCAATACGTAAGTAATGAACGTTTACGACATTGGTTGTCGATAAAACCAAAGAACCGCACTTTGCTGACTTTAAATAATACATTCATAGAAGCAAAGGACGTTTCAAAGATATGAATCTGAAAATCGAAATATCTTTCCATACACGAAGCCTTTGCCATTGTTCTTGGGGCGTACAGCATGTATATCCTTTCGACGTCCTACATTAATATTGTGCCGAACAGCGTCATACAAAAACGAATCGTATCATATCGAACGGCGTCAAAAACAATGCTGGAAGAACTATATTGCTCTTGTATCGTTTACCGTGAGTGAAATACCTGCATGACGTACCCTTATGATTTTGTACCCTAAAGCGTCAGGGAAATACCTGCGAGACATGCACCTATATTGTATCGAACAGCGTCAGAGGAATACGTGATGGGTGAACTGTAACTAATTTGTATCGAACAGCGTCATGCCCTTGTGCTGATTTCTTGTATCGAACGGCGTCATAGAAATACCTGCAGGAGCTACATTTATGATATTGTATCGAACAATAAACTTGTAAAAGATGTGGGGACGTTCCTGAATGATGCTGCACGTGCACCTAGTACCAAAGTCCTTCCTGTGCCAATCTCAACAGCGTTGTATCTAACACCAAAGTCATTCTTGTGCCTACCCCAACAACATTGTACCAAGCACCAAAGTCCTTTTTGAGCCTACCTCAACGACGTTGTGTCTAGCAACAAAGTCCTTCTTGTGCCTACATCTACAACGGTGTATCTAGAACCAAAGTCCTTTTTGAGCCTACCTCAACGACGTTGTGTCTAGCAACAAAGTCCTTCTTGTGCCTACATCTACAACGTTGTATCTAGAACCAAAGTCCTTTTTGAGCCTACCTCAACGACGTTGTGTCTAGCAACAAAGTCCTTCTTGTGCCTACATCTACAACGTTGTATCTAGCACTAAACGTCCTTCTGGTGTCTACCTCAACGACGTTGTATCTAGCACTAAACGTCCTTCTGGTGTCTACCTCAACGACGTTGTATCTAGCACTAAACGTCCTTCTGGTGTCTACCTCAACGACGTTGTATCTAGCACTAAACGTCCTTCTGGTGTCTACCTCAACGACGTTGTATCTAGCACTAAACGTCCTTCTGGTGTCTATCTCAACGACGTTGTATCTAGCAACAAAGTCCTTCTTGTGCCTTCATCTACAACGTTGTATCTAGCACCAAAGTCCGTCTTGTGCCTACCTCAACGACGTTGTACCTAGCTGCGTCACAGAAGTCCCTGGCCCCTATCTCCGTCCCCATGTACCAGCCGTTGAAGGGGGCTGCCGGGAACTCCAGACCCCCACAGTCGAACAACATCGCCGAGACAGCTGGGACCGCGAACCACTTTAACCCTAGTCCCTCAAACCACGGGTAGCTAGTTTTAAGCCAAACAATTAAGTAATCAATACCAATTTGACTATTTTTGTATTATAGTATTTTTTTTTAAAAAGCAGTATTTTCTCACACGTTATTCTTCCCAAAACAGGAGAATACCTATTAAGGAACATTCTGATTTAAAACTGAGTATTTATTACAAAATGATTAATATAACAACGTTAATAAGATAAGGTATAAGACCAACGTACAATGTCTGTCAATAAGTGTTTCAGAAATGTGATTGTAAATATTAAGTCCAGGTGAAAAAGAAACATCTCAAAGACGTAAAATGATAACTGAAACATGATATATATGAAATTAACTTACGATTTTCACACAAACAAATTACTTTTAAGATAACCCCTTATGAATGTTTTATCTGTCACTATGTTATCAATCAGAGAACATCAGTCTACTACACACTTAGGGTGTTTGATCTCCACCTCCAGCACAAGATCCTCGGGGAGGTCAAACAGGTCAGGGTCGCCGTCTCCAGCAGATAGTACAATGGGAAGCACATCAAACATCCCGCCCCTGCCGCTCCACCCCAACGCTTCACACACCTGGAAACACAAGGTAAGGCAACATGGTTAGGGTACGGCAACACGGGTAAAGCAAACAGGCTAGGGGAAGGCAACACACGATAAGGCAACGTGGCTGGGGTGGGGCAACATGGCTAGGGTAAGGCATCACGCGATAAGGCAACAGGGCTGCGGTATGGCAGCACACGGTAAGGCAAAATGGCTGTTGTGGGGCAACATGGCTAGGGTAAGGCATCACGCGATAAGGCAACAGGGCTGCGGTATGGCAGCACACGATAAGGCAAAATGGCTGTTGTGGGGTAACATGACTAGGGTAAGGCATCACGCGATAAGGCAACAGGGCTGCGGTAAGGCAGCATACGGTAAGGTAAAGTGGCTGTGGTGGGGCAACATGGCTAGGGTGAGGCAACATGGCTAGGGTAAGGCAACATGGCTAGGGTAAGGCATCACGCGATAAGGCAACGGGGCTGCGGTAAGGCATCACACGATAAGGCAACAGGGCTGCGGTAAGGCAGCACACGGTAAGGTAACGTGGCTGGGGTTGGGCAACATGGCTTGAGTGAGGCAACATGGCTAGGGTGAGGCAACATGGCTAGGGTGGGGCAACATGGCTTGGGTGAATCAACATGGCTTGAGTGAGGCAACATGGCTAGGGTGAGGCAACATGGCTAGGGTGGGGCAACATGGCTTGGGTGAGGCAACATGGCTAGGGTGAGGCAACATGGCAAGGGTGAGGCAACATGGCTAGGATGAGGCACTATGGCTTGGGTGAGGCAACATGGCTTGGGTGAGGCAACATGGCTAGGGTGGGGTATCACGCGATAAGGCAACAGGGCTGCGGTAAGGCATCACACGGTAAGGTAACGTGGCTGGGGTGGGGCAACATGGCTTGGGTGAGGCAACATGGCTAGCGTAAGGCATCACGCGATAAGGCAACAGGGCTGCGGTAAGGCATCACACGATAAGGCAACAGGGCTGCGGTAAGGCATCACGCGATAAGGCAACAGGGCTGTGGTAAGGCATCACACGATAAGGCAACAGGGCTGCGGTAAGGCATCACACGATAAGGCAACAGGGCTGCGGTAAGGCAGCACACGGTAAGGTAACGTGGCTGGGGTGAGGCAACATGGCTAGGGTGAGGCAACATGGCTAGGGTAAGGCATCACACGATAAGGCAACAGGGCTGTTGTGGGGCAACATGGCTAGCGTAAGGCATCACACGATAAGGCAACAGGGCTGCGGTAAGGCAGCACACGGTAAGGTAACGTGGCTGGGGTGAGGCAACATGGCTAGGGTAAGGCAACATGGCTAGGGTAAGGCATCACACGATAAGGCAACAGGGCTGTTGTGGGGCAACATGGCTAGCGTAAGGCATCACGCGATAAGGCAACAGGGCTGCGGTAAGGCAGCACACGGTAAGGCAAAATGGCTGTTGTGGGGCAACATGGCTTGGGTGGGGCAACATGGCTAGGTTGAGGCAGCATGGCTAGGGTGAGGCAACATGGCTAGGGTAAGGCATCACACGATAAGGCAACAGGGCTGCGGTTAGGCAGCACACGGTAAGGTAACGTGGCTTGGGTGGGGCAACATGGCTAGGGTGAGGCAACATGGCTAGGGTAAGGCATCACACGATAAGGCAACAGGGCTGCGGTAAAGCAGGACACGGTAAGGCAAAATGGCTTGGGTGGGGCAACATGGCTTTGGTGAGGCAACATGGCTAGGGTGAGGCAACATGGCTAGGGTGAGGCAACATGGCTTGGGTGAGGCAACATGGCTTGGGTGAGGCAACATGGCTAGGGTAAGTCAACACACGTTAAAGCGACATGGCTAGGGAGAAGCTTCATGGCTAGAGTGAGGCATCATGGCTAGGGTAAGGCAACACACGGTAAGGCAACATTGCTTGATAGAAGCAACATTGCTTGGTAGAAGCAACATGGCATGGGTAAGGCAACATTTCTTGGTAGAAGCAACATGGCATGGGTAAGGCAACATTTCTTGGTAGAAGCAACATGGCATGGGTAAGGCAACATGGCTAGGGAGAAGCAACATTGCTATGGTGAGGCAACATGGCTAGGGTAAATCAACACACGTTAAAGTAACAAGGCTAGGGAGAAGCAGCATGGCTAGGGTCAGGCAACACGCGGTATGGCAACAAGAGTAAACATAATCCAACCTCTGTGAACTCGACGTTGGCGGGATCGCCGACGACGCTACCGTCAGACTGGCGGTAACCGGCGTATCGGATCAGTTGAATGTTCCATACCCGAAAGTCCTCTCTCCCGGAAGTGCGCTGAGGAAACACAGTGATCGCAGACCTGAAAGTGATATTAGTGCCTGTAGATTGATGTTGCTTTTTTACTCTTCAGTCAGCACGATTCCAGCTAATTCAAGACGTCCTTTAAATGCAGATCAGTAGTTTGTGCAACGTCACACGAAAGGGTGTGTTCAATCGTTGTTTTTCATTTTTGGTAGAAAAAATATAAGAAAACCTGTACTGCGATACTAACTAATTCTGGTGTGTGTGTGTGTGTGTGTGTGTGTGTGTGTGTGTGTGTGTGTGTGTGTGTGTGTGTGTGTGTGTGTGTGTGTGTGTGTGTGTCTGTGTGTCTATGTGTGTGTGTCTGTGTCTGTGTGTGTGTGTGTGTGTGTGTGTGTCGTAACGTAGTTACCTGATATTTCCATTATTGGTGCTGTACTCAATGTGGGTGCACAGCGCTTCAAACATCTCCTGGGTCGTGGCTACGTGACGAGCATCAAACACCTTCAAACAACCAAATATATGTCTGTAACATTATAACCGCGATTTGTAAGTAATCTAACTGGATTTAACAAATGATTGAGCAATTAGTTCGTTCCATTAAAAATGTCATTACGTTTGTTAGATTGGATTCCTGGTTAGTAACTGGTCTCTGTGACTTGTCGTACGATGTCTCTGTATGCTTGTCGTACAATGCAAATATAAAGGATCAGGTGGTTATGTTTGGTGACTTGGCTGATTGATGTCTAGTGCTACCAACTCTTACAGACACACATAATGACAATGGTGTCTCGTAAAGATCCCATGCTTGCCATAAAAGGCGACTATGCTTGACGTAAAAGGCGAACTAACGGGGTCGGGTGGTAAGGCTTCTTTGACTTTGCGAGGATCGATGCACATGGTGTCAATGACTAGATTGTCTGGTCTGGTCCAGACTTGATTATTTACAGACCGCGGCGTTAAACAACAAACAAACAAACATGACAATGGTTGTCCTTGTACTATAAATTCCTTCTCCTGACACACATCCTGGCAAGTATTGTTCAAGTGCTTCAAATTTCTTCTACAGACACATATGCTAGCAGTTAATGTTCTAATTTACCAATTCCTTCTACAGACTCACATCCTGGCAGTTATTGTTCTGGTGGTACCTCTTACTTTTACGGACACATATCCTGATAATGACCGTTCTTTTAGCACCAACGAATCATTCCTTCTACAGACACACGTCCTTGTAATGATCTTTCTTGTGTTATTTCCCGGACCCTGAATGACATATTACCTTCAGTTTTGACCACTGTATTCTTCCAATACATCGTGGCGCGTTCCTCCATGCTGTCTTCACACCGAAGGTCAGTTCTTCCAAAGTCAGATCATAGGTCCCGGATGTAGAAATGGCGTCTTCAACTTCCGCCCATCTAATTTTGTGATCCTCTGTGTCTGAGCTGATGAATACGGAAAACAAAACTTGGGTTTCGTTAAAAACCTACAGGATTATATAAATCTATACGGGAACTCATTTACCAATACCTCCTAAACACCATTCGGTCTTATTTTGGTTTTCAAATTAAATAATATATTTAATAAATATTTCGTTACATGTGATATTATATCATCATTTGAATAACAATTCCGTTAGTTCGGAGAATTACGATTTTCACTAAAACAGATATTTGTTAATCGGGACGAATTTCTGTAATATGGCACCATCCACATAAACGAGGTTTTGTTGTAGGAGGGGCATACATCTCGGGTAGGTGACGTTTAAGATGTATATAAATACCGAATGATTTCAAAACAACTTCCAACTCGATCTGGTGCCATCCTGATAAACTGCACGTTATCATATCAAACAGGACAGTTCTATACTGTTGGTTGTTGACAAAGATCGTTTTACCAGCCATTGTTCTCTGTAATTTGGGTGTAAACAGGGTACAAAGTTGAACGACATGATAACACTGTAGGTCAACGCTGAAAGCCACGAGAAAACTGAAGGTCAACGCTGAACGACGTTAGAAAAATGTAGGACAGCGTAGATGTACCGTCTCTGACCACATACCTTTTCATAGAGGCGTAGTACTGGCCAATGAAGTCCTTGGCGTCCGTCAGAAGGTTCTGCCTTGACCTCAGAGTCAGGGGATGCTTCATGCTGTCATTCATCATCACTGACCCCATGCATCGCATCTTTGAGCAGTCCACTGGCTGGCATGGAGAACAAAGTAATATGACACATAAACAAATTTGGTTATAATAGCTGCATAGATTGACCAGTCGTCTAAGGAGATGCAACTTGTGCAGAGTAACGATTCATAGGCGTGTCATGGTCATGGGTTCGAACCCTAGATTCGTCTTGATTATGTTTCCTTGTTTGCCAGCACCTTTCCCTTTGCTCGTGGTTGCAGCAAAGTGGTAATAGTTTGATATGCACCCCTTCGGGTTTCCCTCCTATATGAAACTGACACGCCCTTCTGTAACTGAAATTCTGATCAAAGCAGAGTTAAAGCCAACTCTCTCACTCATGTTTGGCTATGTTTAAACCCTTTTGGTCCCAAACCATTTACCTTTTGGTATACCAAATATTTCGTTTGAAAATGTATTTTGTCGAAAGTTATGAACCTTTAAGCAAGAAAGAGTCGACTTTACTGCCTCGGTCGCTGCATCTGATACAGTAACATCGAACTCGACTCGAAATGAAACTAACACCTGTCCATTCAGGAATATGGCGTTTTCAAATAACGAAAGTTACAGAGACGAGACAGTGCCGTCACAAATGTGGTTTTGGTTTTCTTAATATCTACAACAACAACTATTACGAGCACGATGGCCGTTATATAGCTGGATTATTGCTGAGTGCTGCGTTAAATAACAAACAATCAAACAAAATACACTTTGCTATACATACTGCTATTTCCTATTATGTGAATATTAAATACTTAATACTCGTCACAGTGCTACAGTCACAGTGCTACCAGTATTATAACTACCTAAAACGTGAAGATCCAGGTTAGAATTGGTCTCCATTCACCTATGCTTGCGACTAACATGATCGGATGGTCAGACCTGTTGACATGGTTGATGCATGTCATCGTATCCCACTTGTGTAGATTGATACTCGATTATTTACAGAAGGAGTCAAACAATTGGAATATTACTGGGGGAGGCGTTAAACAAAAAATAACAAATCTACCTGAAGCTGCTTCTTGTGCAGCGTGTCAGTTGTAGTCGATCCATCCAACCAGTTCCTCAATGATGTTACAGGACATGAACGCGGCGTCCCTGTTGCAACAGCACCAGACAAGCCTCCTTTCTTCCTGTTCCCCACCTTGAGTCCACTGACCCTGACCACTTGCTTCTCAAGAGGGACCTTCAGCGTTCCATTTTGGGGGATCTTATTTTCGTTCCGGACACTATCAGATACGCAGTCTGGGTTCGAATCTCCTTTGCCCTGACGGAACCTTCGATTCCTATTTGGTTTCCTTTTGTTCCGGCCTCTACGGCACGAGTTACTTTTTCCTACTGGATCCATGTCAGCACGGACGTGGTGTACGTCAACGTAATGGATTTACGACGTTGTAATCGTGCTCTTCGACCGTCGTTGTACCGGACGCTGGGCTGCAAATTCGCTTACAGCAGACTGTTGGTCAGTTTCTGGTGGAGCACCGTCTGTTGGAGACAGCACAGAGGCAGGATGGGACGGTGCTAGCTGTGCGAGTGACTGTTGGGTTAATATAGTCTCCTGGTACCATGACGTCACAAACTGGCCGAGTTCACTCATTAATATATGTATGAACGCAACGTGGCTGTCTCAGGTGAATATATTCTCTTTATTTATCAATGTAGATTTAATCTCCATGAAACTGTTGAGATATAGCTGGGATATTGTTGAGTGCGGCGTTAAACAACAAACAAAACAACTGCTGACTAAGTTTTCATTGTCAATTATAATGAATCATGCGATGATTTCCGAGAAACATGTTTAGCCTATCCTCAGCTACAAAAAAACCCATCCCATATACACGTAACCATTGTTAACCGCCCTTGATCTGTACAATCAAAGCAATCTGTCACTAGAGGGCTCTACTTCTCCTAAAAGATTTTGCCCACGCCTATGACCCATACATTTACAATCAACGTTACACATGGGCCCTGAGCACCACGTGGTATTTCGCGACCTATTACGTTACGTGTTTGAGTGAGTGAGTGAGTTTGGTTTAACGCCGTATTTCAGTATTTCAGTTACATCACGGCGTTTCAGCTAGGCGTGGGAGGAGAGACCATTAATTTACCATTTCGGAGAATACACCGATTGCTTACAGTTTGTGTTGGAATATCGTTTGGCTAAAAAGTAGCATCAATTTGACATTTTAGCTAAAAACTTGATAATGATGTGCTGGGTCGTGCGTTTGTACACCACGGAATGTGTTGTTGTCTCCAATAAAAAGCATCATTCTTGTCGTCAGCAAAATTGTAAAATGCAGTATTTTAGTAATTTTCAACAACAACCTAAAAAGCGGTCTTCGCTCACAACAGATGTTGGGAAAATATATTCACAGAACTGTGTTTTTTCACGGTTAAAGCCGAAAACAGCTGTTGATGTTTTATTCAAATTCTTCAATCAATAGAAATTAACAAACAATAAACCACGTGTGAATATCTAATGTCTATCCGGCACAGGTACACAACGCGAAGGCAAGCTGTCAAAATTCCATTGCCTCAATCATCACACGAAGGGACAGTATTTTCCGAATTTTTACATGCTAGGAAATGAAAGTGTAATCCGAGGTCCATATGACCAACGTTTAAAACTGACGTCTCAATTGTCCGTCAAATTCGCATTTGTTCCGTGGGTCCTGAAATAAAGAGCATTTAAGTGACTATGAACATATATATCGGAGGTGTGTACATATGGTCATCGTCTTCATGTATTTTGTAACGTGTGAAATAATTGTAAATGTTGTTCTTGGATTACACAGAGTTCATTATCGTGTTTAGATTTATCCTATGTTTCCTACGCTCCTAAATAAATGGAAGATTACCATTTTCACAAAAAAAATATCATATATCCTACTGGATCCATGTCAGCACGGACGTGGTGTGCGAGTGACAGTAGGGTTAATATAGTCTCCTGGTACCATGACGTCACAAACTGGCCGAGTTCACTCATTAATATATGTATGAACGCAACGTGGCTGTCTCAGGTGAACATATTCTCTTTATTTATCAATGTAGATTTAATCTCCATGAAACTGTTGAGATACATTTTTTGACATCGGAAAAGGTTATGAACACATCATTGTCGTTCAAATAGGTGTTACCGTTGTCTTTAGGTGGTGATATCAATCAACGCCATGTTTACAACCCTTTTTGCTGAGCTTCTATTGACTTTCAGTGACCGACTAGAAATCGAGCAATTATTATAATCCTCCTAACTGATTAACTGAATTAATATTTACTTACATAAAAGCGACAAAAGCATTTCAATAACCATAAGAAATAAGTAGTAGTAGTAGTAGTAGTAGTAGTAGTAGTAGTAGTAGTAGTAGTACAAGTAGAAAGTAGCAGTAGCAGTAGCAGTAGTGGTTGGGGTATTAGTAGTAGCAGTAGAAGTACTTGCAGTAGTAGTAGTGGTGGTAGCAGTTGTTGTAGTCGTTGTGGTAGTTGGAGCAGTTGTTTTGTTTGTTGTTTAACGCCGCACTCAACAATATCCCAGCTATATGACGGCTGTCTGTAAATCAAGTCTGGTCCAGACAACCCAGTTATTGGCATAATGAGCATCGATCCACGCAATTGGGGTACGACGACATGCATCAACCAAGTCAGCGAACCTGACCACCCGATCCCGTTAATCGTCTCAGCATGGGTAGCTGAAGACTATTCAAAACATACGTGGTGATGGAGAAATACGGTTTTAATTATTTCCACCAAGAGTGAGTGAGTGAGTGAGTGAGTGAGTGAGTATGGGTATACGCCGTTTTAAGCAATATTCCGGCAATATCACAGCGGGGAACATCAGAAATGGGCTTCACACGTTGTACCTAATGGAGAATCGAACCTGTGCCTTCGGCGTGACGAGCGAACGCTTTAACCACTAGTCTACCCCACTGACCTCCACCAAGAGTGAGTGGACAGTTTTCCGGTTATATCACGGCGTGTCAGCTTGATGTGGGAGGAAAATCCGTTTTCCACTAAAAATACCAACAAACCCAACTGGGCACACCCTGAAACAAGTCCTTTAGATACAATGTCAGTTGCCAAGCATGTCTTTTTTGTGAATAACAGAGTATGCGTCATGCACATGACACGTGACATTTGAAAACTAATTTTTCATTGTCAATTATAATGAATCACGCGATGATTTCCGAGAAACATGTTTAGCCTATCCTCAGCTACAAAAAAACCCATCCCATATACACGTAACCATTGTTAACCGCCCTTGATCTGTACAATCAAAGCAATCTGTCACTAGAGGGCTCTACTTCTCCTAAAAGATTTTGCCCACGCCTATGACCCATACATTTACAATCAACGTTACACATGGGCCCTGAGCACCACGCGATATTTCGCGACCTATTACGTTACGTGTTTGAGTGAGTGAGTGAGTTTGGTTTAACGCCGTATTTCAGTATTTCAGTTACATCACGGCGTTTCAGCTAGGCGTGGGAGGAGAGACCATTAATTTACCATTTCGGAGAATACACCGATTGCTTACAGTTTGTGTTGGAATATTGGAATTCTTTTCAAGAATATCATTTATGATGTGATGAATTATAATTATTATGACAATAGTGATAAGTATGATAACCAGAAGAGGGGAATCCTCAGTCATCGATGACTATGTATATTGTATAATTGTATATTGTATATGTATGACTTACAGAGGCATCACCCTAATGTCTGCACCCTGCAAAATGTATTGCGATATACTCAATTGGTGGAAGAGAAACGGATTCTGAAAGCAAAGGAGCTGTCTAGATCACCCATATAGTTTTCATAAGATATTAGACAATAGAAGAATCGCAAAACAATCTACTTTAATTGTCTCATAGACATGAAGAAAGCATTTGATAGCGTGAACCGTAACTGTCTTTGGTTCAAGCTGGAAGCTATGAGTGTACAAGTAAACATATTGAGTGCCATTCAGTCAATGTACGAGGGTGTTCAGTGTGCTGTGGGGTTAATGGTTTACTGACGCCGTGGTTTAAACTTCCAAATGGAGTTAAACGAGGATGTTTAATGTCGCCAACATTATTCTCGATCTACATTGATAACCTTGGTATAGAGATTGGTGATATGACTGTCTGTTTTATGCTGAGGATATAGTGATTCCTCTTCCATGGAAGAGAGCCTTCAACAGATGCTAGACAACACACATGAATGGTGTGTTAAATGAAGATTAGAACTTAATAGTGACAAGTCGAAAATAATGCATTCCAGACCACGTGACATGAGTTGTTCTCAAGCAAAGTTCACATATGGCGATATTTCTTTGGACTACACCCCGGCTTATATAAATATATCGGACTAACTGGATCAGCACTTGGGGCTTAAACTGACACTGACACTTAGTGCACACTGTGCTAAGTTTTGTGACGCTGTGGGGTGGCTTATGGCGTATTCACTGCCTTTAACTCACTTGTACAGCCGATATTGACTTATTGGAGCCTGGTATTTGGGGTCGTTATGAACAAAGAATTATGAATATGGTACAGAACAGAGCGTGCCGCATTTCCCTGGGTGCCAACGCAAACACATCCAATATTGCCACGAGAGGGGACATAGGCTGGATTTCATGTGTAGCATAACAGCGACTGAAAGTGTATAGACTGTGGCTAAGACTTCAAGAGACTAGACTTCCTAATATCGTTCACAAGTGGTCATCAAAACGTAAGCGTTCACAGACGACATTGACATGAAATCCACACTTCGCCGAAAAAAATGTTTATCTTAGATGAGCAGAAGTGGTTTACTGATTTATGGAAGGATAAAGTTAATACCATAACTGGTGATAAATGACGTACTTTCAGACATATTTACTGTATTAATATTCTCTATTATTGCTTTCTAAATGTACACACATATGGTATTACCACTGAGTGTGTTGCGATGGGGAACTTGAGTGTCTAAAACGAGTGTTTGGGATATCACATTGTAATTGTTTCTTATATATTTATTACAGAGGATATTGCATATTATGTGCTAAATCCAATGAAAATATTCTTTAAATACACTTGAACTGACACGTTTACTGTCAACTGGCAGTAACCCGTAAGCAAATCGAATGTCGTGGTGCATTTTGAGACGTGTTTCTAAATTAAATTTGCTTATTAATTAACAGCAATATTTATGTCATGTTTATTTCACGATTAGTCATGATTATTTGGCCACAGTTTCATAATGTCGCAGGTGAAGTAAATGTTGTACAATACATATATAGTTTATAATTCATACATTTCACAATATGAATGAAGACAATCGTTTGAAACAAACTCATAAGAGTGCATGTGAGAAAAATAGTTTTCTTTCAGAAGTGACGATAACTCTAGTTAGTTTGTACAAGTTGTTTGTTTGTTGCAGCTATAAGGCGGCGGTCTGCAAAATTGTCGAGTTTGGACCAGACTATCCGGTAATTGTAGTATCATGAGAATCGATCCACTGACAGATTAATTTAAAATTATTCCTATCACCTTCAAATCCAGCATATTTTATAACATGTTGATACGTGTGGGATGAACGGCGGCGGTTCCCGCTAATACCACGAATGACCATTACAAGAATCCCACAACAATCTCTGATGTTTAAAGCTAGATTTCATAATTAAAACCAAGATAAGTACATAACAATTCTCAGTTACTGGGCAAGGCACTCATATACAATGTTAATCTGTTCAGGCAAAGCAATATGGCAAATGTACAATATAGATAATAGTCACCTCAGATTCCTTGAGATCACATTCATAACGCATTCAATCTTACACAGTTCTTGTCCTATGTTACAGGTTCCAAACTGCCCTCGTTCAGTCATACCATATTTCTCCATTTCTCCCTTTCCAATTCTATAAGATAACTTGCCCTCATATAGTAATACAAATTTCCAAGAGTGAGCTATCTATCTACTTGAGCACACAACAACAGACGGTTAATCGGCCCACACCTATCAATTGCCAAGCCAACTCACAAACTCCAATCACCCCACAAGCACGCTTCTCCTCGTCAGACAGCTTGCTTAACTCAATCAAGCATGACACCGTCCACCCCAAGTGGACCCACTCATAACAATGTATAATATAAACTACACTGTATTGTGCATTGCTATCTGCTGCAACACTGAATTGTAAAGGGTCGTGTGCTACAGAAGTGGAAACTGTATTTGTCTTGCGTGACACAAAGACTTATGACTGTTTGAGAAGGTCGCCCGGAATATGCTCATCTCTGCAGTG